AGCAGCGAGCAACACATTCATTGGAGGCCAGATCTGCTGCTCCTGTGTATCCTGCAGGCTGAGGTGACTGCCTCACCTTGCCTCAAGTGTGGGCTGGCCCTGATGAGCCTTCAGCGAGAGTACAACTCGTAACAACATAAGAGACTTGATACATCAAACCAAAGACCCATCTAGTCCAACATCATTTTCAACAATGAGAAGACCAAAGTTTAACTATGCACTGTGTGAATACATTGCCTCACCCAAATCTTCCAATGTTCAGCTTCATTGGATGACTCAAGTTCTAGCATTATGAGGTAGGACATAAAAATTCTCTGCCGCTTTCTATACACCATACATAATTTTATACACCTCTATCATTTTTTCCTAAATGAGTAAAGGAAAACATAACCTTTCCTCATAAGGGAATTGCTCCAGCCTCTTGATCATTTGGTTGTCCTTTTCTGAGCTTTTTCTAGCAGGTTACATATTTTTATTACAATATCAACAGTTTTACGTTTGAGTTCTTCAAAAGCCCTCAGGCGGATGTCATCTGGATCTGGAGATTTATTTATTCTTTCTAAATTTGTCAATGAGGTCTCAAACTTCATCTCTTATCCCCATTTTTTGCCTCAGTTCCCCAGAATCACCTCCTGAAAAAGTTATTTCAGGCACAATAACCTGCCCTGCATCTTCAGCTGTGTTAATGGATTCAAAGAATTCAGCCTGAAATGCTATTTTATTCTTATAGCACACCTGTGACTACGTCATTCAAAGGTCCAACCGCATCCCTGTCCAGTTTCCTGTTTCTAATTTTGTTGTTGTTGGTCTTTATATTTTCTACAATGTGCTCCTGGATTTCATTCATTCATATATAATATATAACCTGTTTGCCTGCTTGCATTTCTTTTGCCAAAGTTCATTGGTCAAGCTCATTACTGCCTCCAGCAACTGAACAGCCTCTCCTGATTCACATTACAGAGTTGTGTGTCAATCACATACTGATGACTCTATACTCCAAATCCCTGGAAGGCTTCTCCCAGTGGCTTCATATGGAGCCCTGCAGATCCCTACAGCCCCAAAGCAAAGGGGCCAAGCAGAAGCCTCCTAATGCTACTCTCTGGTTGCAATTCTGCAAGTAGCACTGGAACAGCCATAAAATGGTGCACGCAGCTTCTAAACTGCAGAACCCCTCCAGGATGATATTGTAGTAGTCAATGATATTGAAAACTGCTGAAAGATCAAGGAAGATCAACAGGGCTGCATTCCTGATTTACATTTTGCAACAGGGCTGCAAAATGACTTATGTTTTCCCAATGTAAGTCATCAATCAGGGTGGTCCAAGTGATTTCAGTGCCAAAGCTTGGCTGGAAGCTTGATTGAAGTAGGTCTAGAAAATCATTTTCCTTTAGGCACATTTGAAGCTGGCCAGCCACCACCATCACTTTCATCACCTTGCCAAAGGAGGGGACATCAGTGACAGGGTAGTAGTTGTCTAAAACCTCTAGGTCCTGGGAGGGCGTTTTAAGGGCCAGGTCACCTCCTTCAGGGCAGCAAGCATTACACCCCCTCAGAGCAAGGTATTAACAACCTGCTGGACCCATCCATCTTGTAAGACATGGCAAACAAGGCTCAAGAGGGCATGTGGTTGGCCAGACCCCTGCAAGACCTGTCCGCTCCCTCATGCTGCAACAACTGAAACTGATCCCAGCCAACTCATCTCCAAAATGCTCTGGGTGCTTCAGAATGACCACCAGCAGCTGTGCCCTCAAGTTCAGAGCAGATGCAAGCAGCTTTGCCTTCAAAGTGCTTTGCAAACCTTTTCACAGCAGGTTTCCGAGGGATCTGCCATTTTGCTCACTACTGGGCAGTGCCGAGCTACACAGTTAAGCACTTTGTGAAGTTCCATTGATTTTAACTGTGGAAATTAGAGCACATGCTGAACTGTCCCACAGAAGTCAATGGAGCTTCAAGGTGCTTAAATATGCTTGGAACATCTTTTTTAAAAATCTGGACTTTGCTGAATACAGGAACATTCGGGTAGCCTTTAAAAATAGAGGGAATTAAGAAGTGGGGTTACCTCAAGAGCTGTAATGCTATTTAATTCATTTATAAACGAGCAGACGACAGAGCGAGCATCAAGGCAGTCACATTTGCAGATAAACACAAAATTATTTGGGATGATGCAAATCCAAGCAGACTTCAAGTAGCCCCAAATAAATATCTCCAAAGTGGATGATTGGGCAGTAAGATGGCAAGCGAGATGCAGTGTGAGTAAGTACAAAGTGATGCACACTCTGTTAAAAGCAATGAGGGGGGTTTGAACAGATTATGCCTTTCCAAGAGGAAATGGGGCCATTCATGCTGAATAACTCATTGAAAAATAATATTCAGCAGTATTTTTTAAAAAGACAAACTGTCAGTTCAGGCTAATTCAGAAAGTGTTGGATAATTCAAAGGTCAGTAGCACAATCTCTTTTTTTAAAAAAAAATCAGTGTAGCTACTACTTAAGACCTGGAGCTTCTTGACCTATGGGGAAAGGCTAAAATTAATTTAGGCTTTTTCATTGTCATACACACACACACCTTGTGGGGCAGGCAAGGCATGAGTGACCTTTATAAAGTTCTGAGAGGTGTGCAGAAAGGGATATATATGGTTTTTTCCCCTTTCCCTTTCATGTAATAACAGAACTCAGGATAACCCAATGGAATTGATCCATTTCACAACAGATAAAAATAAGGACTTCGTCAATCCAGAAATATATGGCTGGCTACTGTTACGAGTTATGGCACCAGACTAGATGGACCTTTGGCTTCATCCAAGCAGGGCTGCTGTTTAGTTCTTGATGAAAGGTCTGAGGCTCAGCCCGGTGAAGACATTATGGCAATTTGTGACCTTTCCCTCCTCATTTTGTTTCTCTAAATTGTGTTCAAGATGGTCTCTTTCCTATGCAGATCTAGATGCCTCCCCTTCTATATTTTTTTAAGTGACACACACAGACTGGCTACTGTGTGGGGCAGTAGATGTTGCTCTGCCAGTACTGGATCTGAACTAGAATGCAAAAGCATCCTTTTTTTTTCATTTGGAAAGCTATATGTAAGACAAAGTTTATGACCACTTGTAAAAAGCTGTCCTTAAATACTTGTCTTTGGAAACCTCAAAGTAATAAATAAGAAATATGAAATCCCTATGCTGTTACATACTTCATCCACTAGCATCATTACTGCCAGATTCATGATTTTAATTTGAAGGAAGCTTGCTTACCTCTTGCTGTTTACAGCAAGAGAGGGGGTGGTGTATACATGAAGAATCCTGTCCCAAGGACAACATTATAATTTTTCTGGCCCCTTCTAGCTCTAACATTTCAATAAAACAGACACACAAAAGTTACACACAAAACAGAATGTGTAAGTAACACAGAAAACCTGACCTTTACAGTGTCCAAAACATCTCATAAAACAGCTACATCAGACTTGATTTCCCTCCATTATGAGCCCCTGATCAAACATTTTCTCGCAAGCAGTTCATATCAAAAGACACTATGAAATCTTGCAACATGAAGAATATATCACAGATTTTGGCTTCCCTTCCAGGTCAGAAAGCATTTCACTCTGCAATGCATACCAATCAGGAAATGGAGCTAATTATTAGAAACCGGCTGATCTAATTATTAGAAACCAGCTCATAACAGCAATGAAACCCAGCCCCACAAATCCTTAAAAAAAACAAAAACCAATACGAAGCCAGATACAAACAATTGTATTAACAAATATGGAGGAACTGACCAATTACCTAGCTGCACCAAACACCTTCAAGAGCAGGGCTGTAGATGCCAAGGAGGCATCATAACCAGTCTATGTAATCATAGACAGGTGGTTCAAGGTTTCCCCAACTGCCTTTTCAATTGTTGCTCATACCTTATAGGCATGGTATTTCACCTCACAATTCAAACCCAAAATGGTCTCGCAGATACCTAAATCCTCTCATCAGCCAGCTACAAATCTTCCCCAAACCTTCTGCGATGGGTGGTTCTGGTACAGTGGGAGAATGGCAGTTTTGTAGGTGTCCATATTTAAGACAACATTTTTCTCTAAGGAGATTTGCGTAGGAAGGAAGTATTGATCTTTCAGGAGTAGGGAAGCTTTATGTGGAACAGCGTGAGGGAAATTTGTGCAAATGGAAGGTCGGGAACAGCGTGAGAAGCTTTAGTTGGGGTTGTGTGTATATTGTGGGGAGTGCATGTGTGTCATGCTGTGGGAAGGAGACAGTGCCAGGGGGAGATGGTGCAATCTGTAGCTTACCGAGGTAGGAATCTGTGCAGATCCCATTATCAATCATATTCAAGGAAGTGGAAAGAGGAAGCCAGCAGGCTTTTCCCCAGCAGGAAAAAAAACACCTTGTCCTCCTTTCTGCGTGAGTGGCTGGTGTTCCAAAGGCAGCTTGCCTCCCTTTCCCCCTTCCAAGAGTCATGCGCTAGCCATAGGCAGGTACCCCACCTGTTCCAGAAGAAGGAGCAGCGGGAGGGAGACACGCTATTGGCACCCACCTGCTGGTCCACGACTTGCCATGTCACAGTCTTGAGGAGCAAAAAATAAAGCCCCCCCCCCAATCTCTGTCCGCTGCCTCTTTATGGATGGGCACGAAGTGGGGTAGATGGGGAAGGATCTCCCATTTTCTCTATTATCTTCCTCACCTACTCAACACCCCCTCCACACACCCAATTCACCTTCTGTGCTGGGGGATAGGAAGGATCTGTTTACCCAGATCCTTAGGATGTAATAGCTGGCGGATACAACTGAGGATGACGAGAGCCTCGCTCTTTAGGCAGCCACCCCACACAGAAGGGGAGGGAGAAGGGCCATGGGGGGTGTTGAGGGGCCCTTGAACTGAAACGCAGGCGGTGGGCAAGGGGTGGCAGGGTAGGGTAGAGCAGTGCCTATTGCCCCCCAACCTCCCCTGGCGGCGAAGCATCTCCCGTTGCAAAGGGCGGTCGAGATGGGGGCGGGGGGAGCTCCGGTACCTGAAATTGGGGGGCGAGGCGAGGTGCAGCCCCAAGAACGGGGAGGATCCGGTCGGGGACGTGGCTCCTTTCTCTCTCTCCGCCATTCTCCCTCTCCATGCAGGCGGGAGGCGAGGGGGAGGGGGATGCCGAGGCTGGCAGGCAGGCAGGCAGGCACGGCGGAGGGAGGGCTCAGCGGGGCAACCAGACAGCGATTATTTACCGGCGAGGAGGGCGACGGCGGCGGGTGGGTGGCGGGGAAGGGGGTGAGCGAGGTGCGGAAGGATCAGCGGGAGGAAGCCGGTGGGGGTAGAAGCGCGTGAGCGCGAAGAGGCGCTGCCGCTGATGCTCCTCCGAGCCCAAGCAGGTTCCCACCTCTGTGGCGGCGGCGGCGGCGGCGGCAGCGGCAGCGGCAGCGGCAGCTGCAAGGCAGATGTCGTCGCCACCCCACCCCACGGCTGGATGCAGCAGGCCGGCCAAGCCCACCCACCACCACCCGCTTCCCGCCTCCTCTTGCCAGGGGGAGCTGCAGCAGCAGCAGCAGCAGCAGCAGGTGAAGCGGGCCGCCCTCACCAGGCACAGGCGGGCGGCCTGCGCGGCGGCAGAGCCAAAAGGCGCCTGAGGAAAAGCAAGCGGCGCAAAGGCGGGCCTCGGGCCTCCGGGGTGGGGTTTGCAGGGAGGGGAAGCCGGAGGAGGAGCTCGCCGGGAGTGGCTGGGAAGCAGGTGGGAGCGGGAGAGGAGTCGCCCGAGCCAAAGAGGCGGTTGCGCGCAGCACGTAGAAGAAGTCGGGCCTGGGAGCTGTACCTGAAGCTGCTTTAGATCTATGCGTGCATATTCGTGTACGCGTGCTTTATGTGTGCAGAGAGAATCCCCCCTTGACTGCGTGGCGTTTTCTTTGTAGTAAAGGGCGGCCTGTAAGTTTCGCTCGGAAATCCCGTAAGTACAGCGCCACCAGCGCACGTACATTCATTGCACGTTCATTGCAGAGACCAGTCTCTGCCCCCACAGAGCTTACAGCCTAAATTCGGACGGCAAGAGGGCGACAGACGTGCGGAAACGCGAACAGCCAGGCAGGAACGTGAGGAAATCAACTGGCATTTAGGTCTCATTTGAGGAGGCAGACGATCTCCTTATTGTGCTCCCGTGACCATTGGTGCTCATGACAGAATGGGGTGGGTGGTTATACACTATCGCAATTTCAATATTATTTACACCTGCAGTGCAAAAAGGTTTGGGGCAGACATACTGCTTCACTTCCCATCTGTGTGCATCCCATGTTTTGCTGGGTGTTGTTGTTTTGTCCCACTTTTGTTGCCATCTAGCCCCTTCCAGGTGGTAATAATGTGGTAACATTGGGGAAGCATCACGGAACAGCTAATAAAGTAGAATGGGATGTGGATGGTGCTGTATAAATCCACCTCTAATGTGCTATTATTGTATCCACACAAAAATTGCAGAATACACCTGCAGCAAAAGCCCATCAGTCTGGAGGTGCCCACAGTAATTAGGTCACAGTTTTCACTGAAAAGGAGCATGTATTTGTTGCAATGAAGAGCATTTAGAAATGTCAGTGGATCAAAAATGCAGCTATTGGATTACTGACCAGGGTCCCCTTAGAGCTCATATAACTCCCATTTTAAAACAGCTGCACTGGTTGACATTTCATTTTCAGGTTCAATTCAAGGTGCTCATGTTAGTGTTGAAGCCCCAAATGACTTAGGCCCCAAATAGTTGGAAGACTGCTGAACATGGCTGTCTTTCTTAAGATCTGCGGAGGTAGTACACTCAGTGGCCCAGGAGAGGGCTGTGGCAGCCCCTCATTTGTGGAACTCCCTCCAAACAGGTGCATTTAGCAACTTAATTGTACAGCTTTCACTATATGCTGGCAATGTTGGACAGTTAAGGTGTTTTTAGTGGGACCCTTCTCTTTCATTGAATTTATATTGTTAGGAGTTTGGACAGGGAGTAGGCTATAGGCCAAGACTGTTCTAATCCCTGGATCCAGCAAGTGTTAAAATATAAGCAAGGATTCAAATTCATGGTGAGGCGACAGCCTAGACCAGAGCTTTCAAAACTTTTCATGTTGGTGACACACTTTTTAGACATGCATCATTTCGTGACACAGTAATTGTGTTTTACTAGCAAACCGGAGGTTAAACGTACTCCTTTCCAGCCCTGGGAGGAGCATGGGCAGCATTCACACAACACACCTACACATTGCAGCCGACACACTAATGTGTTGCAACACAGTTTGGAAAGCTCTGGCCTAGACCATTCAATGGAGTGGCTTTGTGCTAGATGGCAAATGAGGGGGCCCCTCCCTCAAGCGGCTGGTAGTTACATATCCAAAGGCAAGAGCTGAAAGTTATGTGACCTGGAAGCTAGACATTGGAAGAAAAGCTGCAGTCTGGGAACCAGAGAGAGAGAGTGTCGTGATTGATTTCTGTTTGAATTCAATGCTGGGATAAGCAATGAATTTTTGGAGTGTTAATGCTGTGAATCCCTCCGTTGTAAATTCAGGTTGTATATATGTGTAAATAAACCATATATCATAAATACACTACAGTCTCTGCTGTACTTCATTGTGAAAGAAATACGAACCCTGGGTATGTGCCTGGAACTCCTAGAATCTCACAACGCTTGCCTCTGGCAAGCAATTATTATTATTATTATGTATTTATATCCCCTTTTCCCTGGCAGGACTTCAGGGCAACTTGCAGATAAAAGAACCACTAAAAACATAGGGGGAAATCATTAAAAAAACAATTAAACATTGACAGAACTGAAACTATATGTATATATAGAATTGATTAAAACCATGCTAATAATGACGCAACAGAACAGCACAGCACCAACTCTTCCATTAAAAGCAGTCAGTTCCCAAAAGACTTGGAACAAGAAAGTCTTCACTAGCCAAAAGAAGGAAAATGAGAACTCCCAGCTTCTCTAGGGATTTCCATAGTCTGGGAGCAGCCACCAAGAAGGCCCTCTCCCATAGCACTACCGAGTGTACTGGTGAGGGTGGTAGGACCGAAGTCAATCCCTTCAGATATCTAGCAAGAGCAACCTGTCCTCTCCTGGCAATCTTGTGCGCAGAGAGGAAAAAGGAGAGAAAAGGGTGCCCCAACCCACCAATGACTGGTCCACTAGTAAGCAACACCCCACCCTTTACTCCTGATGGAATGTGGTCCTTGACAGCACAGATATTGTCCTACCACCCCCAGTTTATATAATAAGTGTAGGTTGTGAAGTATTTTGCATCCCCGTACTTTCTTCATACTCACTCTGTAAGTTGGCCAATAGTTCAAGCTGTGAAGGGCTCTTTGTCAATTTTAATAGCTGCCCAGAAGGGAGAAAACAAGCAAGTTTATCTTCTTCGATGAATATAAGGTTCAGTATAATTCCTCCCATCCGCCTGCTTTCTCCTCTAAATACTCATTCTGTTATTTTATCTAAGCCATTTATACACCACTTAAATATTAATATTTCTAAGTAGAGTACATTAAAACAATTGACAGAAAATTGGGGGGGATCATAAAACTAACCACTCCTTTGAAATGCCTGCTAGAACAGCAAAGTCATGGCCGTGTGCCTGAAGTTCATCAAGGAAGGGACTTGCCTAATTTCAGCTGAAACATCCACAGCCATTCTGATTTTCTGCTCTACATGCAGAAAATATATGCATTTATTTGATTTCAGCTAGTGTTTTTGCTTTCCCTTCAGCATTGATTTATCAATATCCTCTGCTCAACTTATCTTACAGATGATTAAAAAGTACCCTGGTCTTCTTCTGTAAGAACTATTTATCCAAGGAGTTTCTCAAGACTGTTTATTTGAACCCTGATGGATTTTTGAAAAAAACAGGCTAAACCCTTAAAAACAACCCATCCAAAAACCCTTTCATCTGCCACGCAGCAGCTGTGTTGCATATAACTAATCAATTTGCTACTTCAGAATGACCTAGAAGAGATAGTAGTTGTGCAAGTTCAGTAGTGTTGTCTTATTTGCAATACTGGGTAACTATTGATTTGCAGTGCATTTCAGAAAGATTAAATATCACTGCTGATATAACGGTTACCCCATGGTAAGGGACTAATTAACAGCAGCAAGTGTTATTGTTTTCTTTCTACCCACAGCTGAGCAGCCAGTTAACACTGCGGCACAATTTTTTGATGCTCACAGGTTGCTACTTGTTGCTTCTGTATCCCTAGCACAAGCACGTCATCCTTTGAAAATACAATTTGCAGCCTCCAAGGTAAGTGACAAAAATCCAATGTCTTGGATAGAACTGAATAGCTCCCAGAATTTATTATTAGGATTAATATTAACAGCAGTCAGTGTGCAGGCTGTGGGCAACTAAGGAAGTGATCTGCATGTTTGAATGAATTTAAGGGGCATTCATTATTTCCATGTTTGAATTTCAACCTCTTTCAGGATAGCGGGGAGAATATTATTAGAGCATGCAACAAAATCCATAAATAACATGAAGAAATTGATTTTTCAACTTAAGTATGGTCTGCTTAAATAATTTGTGATTACTGTTGAGAAATCTGAAAGCAGTAAATATTGGAGAAGAGAACTGGGCTGAGACTACAGGGCCTAGACAGGAACTGAACTGTATATAGTACAACATAGAGCTCTCTTTGATTCAGTTTAATTAAGAACCAACCTCTGCAGATTTTCAATCTTCTTGCACTACAGGAGCTGCACAAGTGTAAATGAAAGCTGATTCTTGTACCTCAGGGCTACAGCACACGTCCATTTTGTAGTAGTTTACTCAAACCACCACAATCCTTCTCTGTTTGTCCCTGTATCTACTTCCTGTGTGCTATATTTTAGGTTGTAAACACCTTGGGCAGATTTGTTCATTTGTATTTGGTAAAGCACCGTTGGCACTTTTAATAACTGATCTATGTTACTAGCATGGTTTTTCTGTTATTGACCTTTGCCTCATGGAAGGCAAACCCCTTTTGTCTTAAGCCTTCCAAAACTATTTTCCATGCATTTTTATTTAAAAGCAAAATCTGAACTTTTTTGGAGAATGCACCAGGAATGTTCCTGGGCACGTTTTGCCGCCAATATTTAAACCATAGGTCCCTCCATCAGCCCCAGTCAGCATGGCCAATTGTCAGGAATGATGGAAGTTGTGCTTCAACAACATCTGGAGGGCAACACATTAGCCACTCCTGGTAAAGGGGAAGAACAGAAGCACTATATGTTGTTCCAGAATTGAGCACTCCATTTCCAGACATCAAATACAAGGCAACCAGTCCAGGATTTGCTGGATTTATTAACAATTCAAATTAACCGCGACAAGAAATTCGGGGATAAAGACATTTATAAAACAAGTTAATAGTTACAACACAACTGTAAAAGCAGGAATACATTTTAAGGAACTGAAGTCACAGTTTGAATTTGAAATTAAGAAAGTGCATTTCTTTCCTCTGAAGTAGGAAATAGGGCTCACTCCTTCGTCGCTACTTCCAGTTCCACTAAGTATTCTGGAGACAGAACACCAGATAATATGGATTATACTTGTCTTTCTGCTAGGGAGGAGCCAGAAATGATGGCTTAGGAAGTAAGGACATCTAACAAGAGGCCTGAATAAGTAATCTAGTTTGTTTGTGAAGTGTGTCCAAGAGTTTCAATGAACAAGTGTAGTGGATAAGCTTTCAGAGAAGTGTTCCTGAAAGTAGTTTTCACATGCTCCCCAATTAGAATGATGGTTTCCCATGTCTTCAAGGTGTCATCAAGGCTGTCCTTCACTGTCTCAAAATTCAAAAAGTCTAGGTCACCCATTTTGACAGAGTTAATGTTGTAAAAAGAGAGTAAACCATTAGGGCATTATATAGCTTCATATACTGCTGAGAATCCATCTGCGATAAGCTTCTTAGACTAACTTCTAACAGGATTGAAGTGCTTCACACAGGAAAAAATATTACTCAGAACAGCTCACGTTACTATATGAGACCTGCTATATAAAACAATCTCTTCTCAAGATCACAAACTCAGTATTTCCCACTGATCTGAGACTGGACTGGGGGGTGGGGCAGAATAAACCCTGCCAAGGTTACACTGAAAACAAATCAAGAAAGCATGATCAATAATCTGAAGGCGCTATGATGTTATCTGGCTAGAATTCCAAGTACTCCATAAGGTGAAGGCAATGCATGCAGTGCAGGACTTGAGGAGTACTTCAACAAAAGTGATGCAAATGCACTGCAACCTACAGCTGGGGGAAAAGGGACCAACTACATTGGAAGGAGATTGCTAGGAAAATCCACACAAAAGAGGTATTTTCCGTCTCTCTTACTCCCAGTGCCACATTAACTCCACATAAGTCACAATAGACATGATTCAATCCATTCCATGAACTGATTGCAGTAAAAGGAGAAACTGAATGAGTTTTCGGGAATGTCAGAAAACTCATTCAAAACTGGCACGGCTTCTGAGGTACTCAAAAAAGCAAGTTCACACAAGCAGGACTGTTATAGTATTTTTTTAAAAATATGCTATAGTAATCTGATTTTGCTGAGAAACTCAGCTTTCTGAACTGTGTAAATTATGCAAATGAAGTACATTTGGTCTTTTATTTTGCCTGATTTACTCCACTTCTGCTAATTGTGGAGAGAGGCAAGAAGCTATACCTTCTGACCACAGGAAATCTCACTCAGCAGTTCATCAAGCTTCTGAGAGGTCAGCAGGAACAATATGCACACGCTCCAAGCATGTCTTTGCAACCATAAGGACTAGAAACTTGCTTTTGTAAAAACTGAAATCAGCATTTTTTAATCGAAGCAAAGTTCTGTGGCCAGTATTATATTCTGCACTCTTGCAGAACTGTATTCCAGTCTAAGATACCTCTTTTCAGCATCAATGAATGCAAACATGAACAACTATGTGTTGGGAGAGCCATAGTGGATTTTCACACCTAACTGAATAGTTATTGCCATTCTGGCCATCCATCTTACTTCCTATTGCTGTCCTAAGTCAAACTGGTCATTGCTGTTACTGCACTGTTCTCTTTTGTATCAATACATGCCACCATTTTGGCAGTCTACGTATTTTTGTTGGTGTGCACACCTGGGTGCACGGTGTTACTCTAGTTTGAATAGCAGAGACAGTATTTGGAGTGTTTAATAGATGCAGCTCCTGGAACTATGGTAAGCACCATTAAATATTTTGCATGGTTCACCTCGGTAACCTGCTAGTAAGTGATGAGTGAACACTAAGGGGTGCTCTAAATTGAGCAACAAATGGATCCCACCTGAAGTAACAGGTATATATTTAGGAATGAGCAAGTCTTATTCAATGTCGTTTCTTAGCAGTCTCCAACTGTATCTCAGGAAAGCCAGAGATTTGTTCTCCAGGGCTTTTGGTTATTGATGAAGCTTGCTCACTGCATCCTGCACAGGTCAACGTTGGTCAACGTTCTGATCCTTCTGGCAAAAATCCTTCTCTGCTACTGAAGTGCCTATTCCAGAACCTGACTTTTGCCTTGTCAGTTTCTCATTTCAGGCTGTAAAGAAATAAAAGAGCCCACAGGTTAGTTTTCTCCCTCAGAAACAAGCCCATTTGCAGATATACAATCTAAACAAGGCAAGACTGCTGGGAAAGAAAGAGGTTTGTGAGAAATGTTTTAAGGCATAGCTTAAACTATTGCAAGAAGAACAAAGTACAGGTATTGGAAGGCAGTGAGCTGCAGTCTGAGAGTATTGGCAGACTAGAGATGAAAAAGGAAATAGAGGACAGACAAGGTAGATAAGGATACAAATGGTGAAGAGATTGAAAATCAATAGTAGTAATAAACTGGATCCAATAAGAAGAAAGAAGTCAATGAAGGAAGTGTAATGAGGAATGGGGGCAAAACAAGGTAGAGAGAGAAAAACTACCACCACTGAATGAACAGCAAAGTTAAAAAAGGAGCAGGTGAAAAATGGATACCAATAAGAATAAGTCATGTCTTTGCAATATCAAGAGATAAAAATGCAAAGTTGTAGCCATTTTTAAAGATTGGAAACATCAAGTTTTTTATAGCAGGTCAAATAAAAGAAAGGCCAGGAGAGCTGCAAGGATTTCAAGGTTCTGTACCCAGGGAAAAATGAAGAACAAAGCATTCCCCAGAGGGAGAGAAAAGGAAAAAAAGGTACAGACAGAAAAAGACAACAGACAAGTAGCTCATTTTTAGGAGAAGGTAGCAGAAAGCTATCTAGTGAAATTACAATATGTAGCTACACCAGAAGCAGCAGCATAGAGGTTTTGGGCAGAGAAGGGTTAATTAGGACTGAAGATAAATGGAAGGTGACCTAAGACAGATCACCAAGGAACTGCAGTGGTGGGTACTACAGCAATACTCTTAAGCAGAACTACATCTGGTAGCTATGAGAAATTAAAATGCGAGGCTAAATTCAGCTGCCTGGTGCTGTTTGGAGTGCTAGGCCAGAAAAAAACACATTGTCTTAAAGGAAGGCCAAGGGCAGGCATCAGTGGTGGGCCCTGCTGAGGTCTTGGGTCCTCAGCAGCTGGCTGTGGATGCCAGGTGCTAGGTGCTGATGCCTGTCCTGAACTGACAGGTGTAGTGATGGCTGAATAGCATTCATGGAGCAAAAATGTAGGTTACTTAAAGGGCTCATGTTTCAAGTATATGCTAGCTACTCACATGTACAATTTCTTGTCGTAGGTTCTTTGGCATTTGCGCGGGCATCACCTTGGCCCGTTTGTACAGCTCTTCATTGTGTTCTTCTACAACATTAAGCTTCCGTTTTGGAGATGTCTGGCCATAGTGTGACTGCCTTGGCACTACAAAATGTTAAAGAAGAATTACTAGGACACTTCTCTCAAGAAACTCAAATATTATTGACTATCAAACTATCTGCAACACTGGATGGAAAATACAGGCAGCAGCTGAGAGGGAAAATGGCTAAAGACCCTTTATTATATTGCAAAGACTCCCTTCATGATTTCAATTCATATTTCGGCACAGTACTGATATTTTCTCCTTCAGACCAGAGTAAGGATAGAAGATTCTTGTCAGTTGTTCATTCCAGCTTTTCTTTCAAGCCATCTCATGCTCAGGCAGGCTTCAGGTTCAGAATAGAATATGTTTGCTGATTCACTTCAGTCTTACAAAAATTCTAGGCGAGAGACATCAACTCTTAAACAAGACTTCTAAACTAGACTCCACCAGCTACATCCCTTGTGGAAGTAATCTTACAGTTATTTATGATTTCCCAAGTTCCTATTAAAAGGTTCATAAAATAAGCAAATAATGTCTGCTCACTTGTGCAGCTACCTTGGCTTGCAGAAGGGTCTGTGACGGGGGCACTGAGGTCTTCCATGCTGGAAGGGACAGAGGCCAATAAACCTGCAAAAAGTTAATGGTTCCATTAAAGAAGAGGCAACTTTTCATTATTTACTTATTTATACTAGTACAGTACTCCTAAACTGCCAACTTCTGTAAAAGGCATCATGGTGATATACAATATAAGCATTAAAACATCATGAAATACAAAACAAGTAACCAACACAGAATCAAATTAATTGTCTAGAAATGTTTTCAGCAGGTGGAGAAATATTAAGATTATGGACGCTTGTCTGATTGCAAAGGCAACAGGGTTCCAAGATACTGAGGGAAGAAGGAAGACTACTATAAAGCGTCAGGGAATCTACATGTGCTGCAATGTTGATTCCTGAATGTAACTTCTTTTAACATGTCTGTATATACATCTGAAGGCGCAGCACAATGTCAGGGGGCCAACAGACAGCAACTCTAAGCCATTCCCAGGGAATCACTACTTACAGAGTGATTCATGGTCTGCTAGGAGCACAAACCCTAACACCTAGTAGAAGCCATTTCTTCCTTGTAAAGGCTGGATGACATTTGATCAGCTTAGATGGTTTAGTAAAACCCAAATGTATTATGTGGTACTCAGTACTTACAAAGGCCTCTGTAGCGTGAGAGCTGCTGGTAGATCTGTTTCATGCGCTCTATGTTCATTCGGCTGGCCTCTGCATGGTTCACCATGGGTTTGGGATAGTCTACCCCAATGATACATTTTGCTGCCTTCTGCACTGACTCAGGAGCATTCCATGGCTCATAGATGTAGCGCGAGGGAAAACCTTTCAACTTGGGAAGATATCGCCTGCAACATAAATTGAGTGAGACCTTCACTTAGTACTGTAAACAATCAACTGCCCCATCACAAAAGGAGGCAGGTCAGCATCTTACTTTCAGCATTGTCCTCACTCTTCAGCCAAAAGGGCTCTGAGAGCAACTTACATAAGATCAATAAAAACAAGATAATCACTAAAAGACAGCACACAAAAAGGGGATGAGGGAAGAGGAAAACCATCAAGCTCAAAACAAAAATGTAATAGTTCTGCATTGCAGGGGGTTGGATAGATGACCCTTGGGATCCCTTCCAACTCTACAATTCTATGATTCTAATGACCAGCTACAATGGAAACACCAGTGGTATCCAGTCTCTCAGAAGAGCTAGTGGAATGATTTTGTTTCCATCTCTCCCTCAGCTGCAGCTTGACTGAACTGATAAGCTCCAGTGACATAACGAGACACTTTGCTCACCTGATGAAGTCACCACTGGGATCTGTTCGACGTCCAAAGCCAACAGGGCAGTAGCAGTGGAAGAACTGTTGGAAAAAAGCACTGCACGAAAGCCACATCCAGCTGCCCGAATTCACACTGAAATCTGCATCTAGCAGCAGCTCATCAAACACCTGGAATAAAGAGGGGTGAACTCAGTGAGGACAGTCCGTCAGTAAAGTCTCAGTGACAGGGGGCAGGGATGATGTGAAGCCAACCATCACCTACAACCTCATTGATCATTTTGTAATATCCAGTGAACCCAGACCATGGGAGAATGAAACAAATAAGAGAAACAAGCTAGCAAGATAGTGTTTGTGGAAACCTGCCTGCTCAGACAGGAAAAGCACATTTTTTTCTATATGAAGTTGCCACTGCTATGTTCTCCATGCACAATGGCAACAAAAAACAAAGCTATGCTACTGTCAGGTAGTCCAGTTGAATTTGATTTCTGGGATATTGTCACTTAAGTTTCCAGTATTTGCTCTTATGGAACAGGACTACAACCACGTTAATATAGTACTGGCTGGGGGAACCCAGTCAGATGGGTGGGGTAATAATAATAATAATAATAATAATAATAATAATAATAATAATAATGCATTTCAGGGACTTTCCAACAGATCCCAAGAATCGAATGTGCTTAACATATATTACATTTCAAGAGGTTCCTTAGAATGGGAGGCTCATTTCAGTGAGCTATGGTAGTGCTGTGCTGCCTGTAGAGCTGTTTCACAGCTCTTTACTGCCAACATATACTTTCTGTCTCTTTTCTTCTTTACTCACCCTTACGCCTGACTCCCAGCTGATCCAAAGGTCTCCTCTGGTCAGAAAGCAGGCTACAGCATGCCGGGCCAGGTGATGAATCCAACCCTCCTGTCTCAATTGCGTCATGATAGCATCAATCCAGGGGAAGCCTGTCTTGCCTTCTGCCCACTTTGCCAAGGCTTCAGGATTCCTGTCCCATGGGATCTGAATACAAATTGGGTTCCCCTCCATACGGTCAAATTGGGGATTGTTTGTGGCAGCTGTATAAAAAAATTCTCTCCAGAGTAACTGGCCATATAACGACAATGGTGGAGTGCTATTCCGCTTTACCTAGAGATGACAGGAAGAAGGAGGCATATACCAATAAGATAGTATCATAGCTTTTTGATATATCAATAGATTCTGCACTGTAATTAGGGTGGTATCTTCAGAAAACTTCTACTACGAGATCAAGGCAGTAAGCTTTTAAAACACCTGTTCCCAAGCATACCTTTACTAAAAATAATTACCTAAGGTCAGAATATTTGCTTTAAACTTGGCTTGTATACAAAATCCACAGAAAGGCCTTAAAAGGGCAAAATTAAGGCAGCCTTATAACCACCGGTGTGAGGGAACCCTCTGAGAACAAGTATGCACAGAAAATATGTTCAGAAAAACGTAACTCAAGCAATGTGTTATTCCTTTGTAATCAGTCCCAGCTATAAAACAGCAGAGAGGTTTTCTTAGTGATAGCATCCAAGCTGTGAAATACTCTTATAAGAAGAGCCTGTTGGACCTGGCCAACAGCTATCTAATCCAGCAACCTCTTCCTCCAAATGCTGTAATCTTTCCTCACAGGGGAGTTGCTCCATCACCTTATCATTTTGATTGTGGCTTTCTCTCTACAGAAGGATTCAGCTGGCACGCACTTGATTGTCCTTTTGCCACCAAGCAAACACCTTTTTAGATGCAATTTTAATCTCCTGACCTATGCTGTTTTTATAATTTTGTCTATTCCTTTGTAAGATGCCTTTGGAATATGCATGAAAGGCAGTATAAACAAACTTATATTATTCCAATATTCCCAGGGAAGTGCAGACACCTAGGAGGTTGAAGTGCAAATTAATACATTTCAATGACTACGCCAAGATATTGGAAATGATCACAGATATAAGGTCTACTAGAGACATGAAGAGAATTAACATCTCACTAAATGCTCAGATTCATTTTGATTCCAGGACTAAGATAACTTGTTGAAGGAAGATTCTTTCTGATTCTTACCTTTCTGTATAGTTCCCAGAGCCGGTAGTAGAATAAGCGGCAAGACAAGCACCCAAACCGAAGGTAGGGGCTGAGCCCTGTGGGGCTGGCCAACAGTGAATTGGCGTTCATCCTTGGCCTCTCGTAATTCGCAACCCATGCCTTGAAGGATTCAGGTAAAGGGAGAAAAGAAAACAGAAATGGACCTTAAAACAACCTTCTGTGAAATTCTATAAACAAGTGTTATTTGATGCTACTAACAATCTACCAGTTGCAAGGACCTTCAAATTGTTTTTTTTCTTTTCATGGGGAGAACAGGGAGGCACATCTTGTCATAACTTGCCAGTGTCATGTGTACCACACTTTATTTCCCTAACTTTCGAACTCTGACTTCAACTGTTACTAGTTAAGGAAATTCACCACTAAGAGTGTCCATTAAGGCTGGCTTTCTTCCAGTACAATTAATCACTACCAAAGAAAGCAAGGGATATAGGTCAATATACCAGACACCACACCACTGTGTCAGAAATTGAAGTATATAATAGGCTAATATTAAAAAAAGGAAAACGTAAGTGAACTGTACACAAACTTGACTTTATTTCAATCACAGTTCATTGGTGCACACCAGACAACAATAAAGGTAAAGGTACCCCTGCCCGTACGGGCCAGTCTTGCCAGACTCTAGGGTTGTGCGCTCATCTCACTCTATAGGCCGGGAGCCAGCGCTGTCCGCAGACACTTCCGGGTCACGTGGCCAGCGTGACAAGCTGCATCTGGCGAGCCAGCGCAGCCCACGGAAACGCCGTTTACCTTCCCGCTAGTAAGCGGTCCCTATTTATCTACATGCACCCGGGGGTGCTTTCGAACTGCTAGGTTGGCAGGCGCTGGGACCGAACAACGGGAGCGCACCCCGCCGCGGGGATTCGAACCGCCGACCTGACGATCGGCAAGTCCTAGGCGCTGAGGTTTTACCCACAGCGCCACCCGCGTCCCTCCAGACAACAATACTGGGATATAAAATGTGTATGCATTTACAAGAGTAAGAAAAGAACATGTAAGATCTAGATTAAGGCAAGAAAGTATGAAATGATTTGGTATTTCATTATTAGTTTCAGCAGGGTGAAAGACAACCTTTGGCTTGCAACACGTCTCAGACACCAGAGCAGCAAAGAGATTGGTTTTTCTAGATTCGCCTAATACACTGGTAATAGCACAGCCAAGGGTACCCTTCCTTCCCTGATGCATTATTTTGCAATACAGATTATAAGGTTACCTTTCTTTCCAGGTGCTTATCCAGACGAGTTAATGCTTCAGTCTCTCCTCCTTGCCAAACAGCTGGAGCAAGACCCTCAGTGGGGAAGCCTGAAAGAGAATGGAAGAGGGTGTTAATATAGAACTCAGTCAACAGATATGGCTTTAATTCAATCTTGTGCAGCGTATTAACTAAATGTGTTCTGCACTATACAGCATGAAATGACCACTGACAACCAGCAGAGGGCACCTTTGAATAAAGGTTTTCATAAGGTAAACACCCCTGCAGCATATGCTATAAAACCTAGGAAAACATAAGTACTTATTTTTCGGCAAAACTATTGATTATAACCTTTGAAAACCAACCCTCAAACTGAAATGGAGGCGGGTGGGAAGAAAGAGAGTGTGTAGAAAATTCAATAAAACAACAGCCATGTAGCTTGGAGCACTTCCAGAGAGCTGATATAATGGAGGAGTCGTTTCCACTTGCTCATTTCTAAATTTAAACAACCTGCTTAGCGACAAAATTTTCAGTCCAATCTAGCATGTTAAAGATTAACAATCTGATTTCTGCCTGCTCATAAAGAAATGACTGACATAGTTGGGTTAGGAACAATATTAGGGGACTAGTATGGAACCAAGGTACAAAGCATGGACAGGAGAAAGACTATGTTCTATTTTCTAGACACACAATTTTCAATATATAAATTATTTCAATTACCAGCCCGTAATTAGTCATTTCTTACAGTAAAAAATAATCATAATGACCCAACACAAGGTATAGTACCCATAGTAAAGGTAAAAGGTAAAGGTACCCCTGCCCGTACGGGCCAGTCTTGACAGACTCTAGGGTTGTGCGCCCATCTCACTCAAGAGGCCGGGGGCCAGCGCTGTCCGGAGACACTTCCGGGTCACATGGCCAGCGTGACAAGCTGCATCTGGCGAGCCAGAGCCGCACACGGAAACGCCGTTTACCTTCCCGCTAGTAAGCGGTACCTATTTATCTACTTGCACCCGGGGGTGCTTTCGAACTGCTAGGTTGGCAGGCGCTGGGACCGAACAACGGGAGCGCACCCCGCCGCGGGGATTCGAACCGCCAACCTTTCGATCGGCAAGCCCTAGGCGCTGAGGCTTTTACCCACAGCGCCACCCGTGTCGAGTACCCATAGTACCCACAGCTAATCCACTGATTTTGCCAAGGTGCACTGATAATCTCAAATTTGTTTCTAAAGACAGAATCAGAACAGGCCAGGCAAGAAGAGTACTACAGTCCATCTGTTCCAAGCCCATTGAAAGCTGGTGTAGCTGTCCTGCAGTTCTGCAACGTACCCAGCTCCTCCAGGGATGGAACGCCATAAGTTTCATCATGATTTTCTTGGATCTCAGTCCTGCATATCTCCATCTGTTGATTTGTAACTGTGGCAACTGGCTTCTTGGGCAGGTCCATGCGACTAATGATGGCTTGGAAACGCTTGTACGTCAGAGGAGGTTTATGCCCATTCAATTCAATTATCCTGCAGATTGGAGAAAGAAATAGTTTAAAAACTTTTGCTGCCATAAGTTGTGTAGGGAAGTAGCATTTCCCTCAATACATTTAGGATCAGTCACTCCTTCAGATTTTTTGTGGGAGGAACAAAACTCACAAAACAGACACTGCAATCCTATTCTCTCACATTTCCAACTTTAGCCACTAACAAGTAGCTAATGCAACAGAAGACAGAATTGGGATGACCTTAAGAGATTGGAGAACTGGGCCAAAACTAACAAAATGAATTTCAATAGGGGCAAATGTAAGGTTCTACACTTAGGCAGGCAGAACTAGCTGCACAAATATAAGATGGGAAACATGTGAAAAGGATCTAGGGGTCTTAGTAGACCATAAGCTTAACATGAGTCAACAGTGTGATGCAGCAGGAAAAAAAGCTAATGCTATTCTAGGCTCCAGCAACAGAAGTCTAGTGTCCAGGGTCCAAGGAAGTAATAATATCACTCTAGTTGACCTTGGTCAGGCCACACCTGGAGTACTGTGTCCACATCTGGGCACCAGAATCTAAGAAGGGTACTGACAAGTTGGGATGTGTGCAGAGGGGGGCGACCAAGAAGCTGAAGGGTCTGGAAACCAAGCTTTATTGGGAATGGTTGAGGAAGTTGGGTATGTTTAGCCGGGATAAGAGAAGACTGAGAGGAGATATGAGAGCCATCTTCCCATATCTAAAGGATAGTCACATTGAAGAGGGAGTAAGCTTGTTTTCTCCTGCTCTGGAAGATAGAACACAAGCCAATGGCTTCAAGTTACAAGAAAGAAGATTCCGACTAAACATTCAGAAAAACTTTCTGACAGTAATAGCCGTTCGACAGCGGAACGAACTCCGGAGATTGTGGTCTCACTGGAGGTTTTTAAGCAGAGGTTGGATGGCCATCTATCATGATTGCTTTAGTTGAGAATCCTGCATTGCAGGGAGTTGGACTAGATGACCCTCAGGGTACTTTGTAACTCTACAATTCTATGATTCTAAGTATTCCTCAGTACTCTTCTTCATGACATCTATGGCCTGGAAGCCCCACCCCACTACAAGAGCAATGTACCAGACCAAAATATATACATTCATAATAATCTATAAAATCATACTGCTCCTAAATTAACAGTTGGCAGACTAGAATTATCCTTCTGGGCAAGTCTGGTGGAATAAAAAATGCCTTAACAGGTGCCAAAATCCCAAAAGGGTCAGCAGCAGCTCAATACCCAACCATGGGGCTGCTACGCTAAAAACCCTGCTCCATGTCACCAGAAAACAGACCTTGGGAATGTGCAACCCTACAAGAAGCAGTCCCCTGATGACTGCACCAGTATTCGGGGGGTAAGGAGACTTCTCAGGTATCTTGGTCAAAAGTTGTTAAAGGATTTAAAAAAGAAAACTAAAACATTGAATCTGTTCCAGTAACATATTGACAGGCAGTGCAGATCCCAGTACACAGGTGCTATTGTATTGCCAATAGGTCACTCCAGTTAACAGGCTAGGTGTCATTCTCTGCACCAACTGCAACTTCTGGACCAAGCCATAATGCAGACCCAGACAGTAATCAAGGCTTGAGGTTACCAACACAAGACTGACTTTGGTCAAGTTATTCTGCCCCTAGAACAGTTGCATTTGTTTAACAAGGCAAAGTTGGTCGCTGAGGACACCTGGGTTTCAAGTGCTGATGATGGATCCAGGAATATCCCCAGACTATGAACCTGCTTCTTCAAAGTGAGCACAATCCTGCCAGGTAATTGACCTATCTCCCAGACACTGAAATCACTTGCATACGGTATGTATGTCTTGTTAGGATTCGGCTTCAGCTTACTGGCCCCATTCAGTCCACTTGCATGTCCTGACACGAATCCAGGCCTTGCACAGCCATTCCTGATTCAGCTGTTTAAGAGAGACAGAGTCAAGTGTCATCAGCATACTGGTGACACTTTTCTAGTTCCAACTGAGGCTGAGAAACACAAACTTGTGGTTTGGTTGTTGTCAAGAACTTATTTTTTGTGAAAGTTTCATGCTTAGGTAGTTTCCATCACAGCTGCAAAACTGCCTTAAAAAGAAGTTTACTGGTGTGGTTAAGAATGCCTAAACACTGCAGAGATCACCACCACTAAAATAATGATTTCATATGTGGGTTAGGAGTCCACATTGTTTATGCTCTCAGTGTCAATCATGCCACCAATGTAACTTAAAGATGAACCCAAAATGCCTCTGCAGGTTGTGAAATGCAGATGAAGATGCTTTAAGTTTCCCAGAAAAACAGAATGGTTTCCTGAAAGTCATACAACACAGAGAGCATGCTGTTCAGACAGACTCAGATCCAGGCACCCACCAGTGATTCAGGCTATGATTGAACACAGAAGCGATCTGCATTCATTTAGTTGCTTTATACTGTACAATTCTAAAAGAGAACCCTCTGTATTAAAGAAGTTAACACCTAGCTAAGAAGATCCTGAAGCAACAGATCTTTTCTCTGGTGAAACAAAGCCTCCAGAACAGAAATAACTAAAACTCTCAAAAGCCAGAATGGGAAGAGTTAAAGAGGCAGTGAGAGAGCCAAGTTGCTAGCTTATATATAAAGCCAAAGCAGCTTCCTGCTCAGCTTGTGTACTAGGAGTTACAAGAGCAGCAGCCACGTCCTCCCAGTCAACAACTTACGCAAAAGGGTTGGGCTTTCAGTCTAATGTTTCAGCATAAGCCATGTGCCTGCCTTTCCCCTGGCATCTGCACGTGGAAAGGGGAGGAGCTCCACGCCATCCAGGCTTTTACAGAGCTCCACTCACATGCATGGCTCCGTGACCTAGCTTCCCAACAATGCACAACAGCCACAAAACGGAAGGCAGCTACTTGCCTTACGATATCTCTACCTATTGAATCCAAGCAACAAACTAATCCCCTCTTACGTATTGAAGCAAAAGGAACTCTGCAAATGAAAGTGTGTGAACTAGAAAGCCAAGAGTGAAGAGTAAGTGTGAGGGTTCCAAAAATTGACTGGGTCAGTGCAACAGGATCAAATACTGAGTGAGCATAGTCCAGCTGTCAGGAGGAACACAGAAGGTCAACCCCCCTGGCTCAGCCATGCTCAATTGCAGAACTTGGGCATAACTCTCCAGCTCAAGTTCCCCCAGCTTAACTATAGAGATGTGAATGTCTTATTTTCACATGTTGTGTGAGGATGAATGAGTCAAGAACAGCAAATAAGTTTTAAATTGAAATAGAGCTCTAAAATTAAATATGCTCTTTAGAGAAGAAATAGGAAAATTTGACCTTTTTAGCATTAAAAGACAGAAAGTGAGGGCCATACAACAACAATATGATTTCCCCCTTTCCAAAACGGTCAAACTCTGTAGTTCATATAAATGTTCTTCTTCCTCCACCATTAGCTTTCTGCCCTTATAAGCAATTATTTCCCCATCAATAGAAATTCTGCATTTATATAGTGGGGGGAATTATATTTTTACGCTCTTTTATAAGGATTTTAAGCAGCTTCTCAGCAACAGATGAAATAAGCTCACTCATCCTCATTAATTACAGGAAGTTCCCTGATTGTATCTGAATGTTTAGTAATGACTTAGACGTTACAATTCTGAGTAATACACCAGGTTGCAGAATTTGCTGAGGGCATCTCAGTCAGCCCTATACTTCAGACCCTTCAGTCTACCAAGAATAAAATGTCTAGATTCTAAAGGAAAGAGGCTCTTCCTAACAGCAGTAAACTAGGAAGCAGTTTAAATACTTTAAAAATGTAAACATCCTGTGATTGCGGAATTATTTTGGCTACTTTCTCCACAAACAATTCAAGCTACAAAACAGTTCAAGCCACTGTCCAATTCATACACAGCATAGGCACATAGCATACTTATATTTAAAGTCTAATAACAATACTGCAAATACACACATATCCACACTAAAATTTAATTCCTAAAAAACTGAACTGAAATTACCTAACACTGAGCTGATGTAAAATGTTTACTGCCTGAAACATAACACTGAACTAATGCTGGATGGGAGGGGAAAATACCAAGTGTTGGGGGAGGGGCATAACAATAACCATAATTTTTCATCATTGGACAGAATCTTGGTGACCTTTGGTCTTAACATGTCCCTTCCAAAACTACCACTCTGGTGTGGTGGCAAGGAAATGCAAGCCAAAGGCTTGCCTAGTCCCATTTCCTTTATAATAAAAGCCAGCTTATCATTATATCCAAACCCAGCCACTCTGAATGAAATAACATAAAACCAGGAAAAGTAGCACATTTGCTAATATGGTAATTAGCTACTGCCCCAGCTTTTCAGATTTTTCTAATACCAGGCAGTCCATCAGCCACAAGACTAAGGGGAGGGGAGTGCTCTGACTATATAGATCCCAAGTAGCAGTATGCCTAGCATGCTTCTAAGCTGGGGGAGGGGTTGTGAAGGAGGAGAGAGCAAATGTGGTTTCCTGAGAAATACATGCGGCTTCCTTTTAAAATACAGTGGCTAGAGATGGGCCTCCAACATAGCCTCTAAAAGATACCTAATGTCAAGGCACCAATATGGTAGAGCTCTGCTGCTGTTTTGCACTTAAAAATACAGTAAGTAGATAAGTACAGGCATGACACAAAGGAGAATATAAAATTTCTAAAGAATTTTAAAAATTAAAATGCTCAGAAATGGTAGCAGTGTACAGGCAGGGCCAGAAAAAAGCATTTTCTGCAACATGTACAAAACCTTTAAATAAAACCAGCCCTATCAGAGGTCTTGTACATGGACTTCCACTCATGCAACAGGGCTTTCCCCACTCCTCTCCCTATCCCCAATTGGGGAGCTAGAACAACCTCCACAATAGGACATGAAAGAAAGGGGGGGGGAGTGTCCCTTTTGGTAAGCTGCAATGTTTGCACGGCTGGAACAGTTGGAAGAACAGGGCATGGAATTCCACATGTAGATTGTGCATAATGATTAATGGGCAAGCACTGCATAAAATTCCATCTGCAGAATGAATAGCTTCCCCTCTCAAGAATTACAAAGCTGGACAGACTCTGAAAGACATTGACAAAACAGAACCTGACTGGGTAAAGGGCATGTCAGGATTTAAGTTACCATCATAATAAGACAGGATGTGCCACACCAAAGATACTCCTGTTTTAATGTAAATTTGCAATTACTAACTTAACATATTTGCACACTTAAACAATACAATGCAGCTTAACACCTATATACAAACCTGTACAACTGTGACCACAATATTTATGTTAAGTGCTGCTGCCTTGCCACGAGAATACAGGTGTGAGAGAATGAATCATGTTTCGTTTAAGAACAAACAGAGAGCAATAGTGAATGAAGGACTGAACAGTCTCATACAACCAGTTTCACAGTCTCTTTGTCCTATTGTCCCTGCGACAGAATGCATACATCTTCTCCCAGTCTCCTTCAGCTCCTTCCTTAGGGAAGAATTCAAAGTTGTGCTATGGCAATCATTCCATCACTGAAAGCATTTCAGCTTGCCAGGTGGAACAATCCCCTCCATGTACTGTTCTATGGGTTCTTCTGGAAACCCCACCACCACCAATTGTGGGGAGGCAAGGGGAGAAAAGCCCTGTTGTGCTAGCATAAGCCCTCGCTTCTGCTAGTGGGACTTGTTAGCTAAATCTGTTCCCTAATGTTTTGTCTTCAGTAGATTGCAAACCTGCAGCAATAATGATCTTATTCCATAGCACTTTGCAGTACAGTGGTGCCTCACAAGACGAAAAGAATCCGTTCCGCGATTCTCTTCGTCTAGCGGTTTTTTTCGTCTTGCGAAGCAAGCCCATTGACAGCTTAGCGGATTAGCGCTACAGCTGTCTAGCGGCTTTTCGCGATCAGCTGTTAAGCGGGTTATCAGCGGAACAGCTGATAGGCGGCTTAGCGGCTTAGGAAAAGGGGGGGGAGCGAAAAAAACCCGCGGGGACGCGCAAGATTTTTTCGTCTTGCGAAGCAACCCCATAGGGAAATTCGTTTTGCGAAGTGCCTCCGTGACGGAAAACCCTTTCGTCTAGCGGGTTTTCCGTCTTGCGAGCCGTTCGTCTTGCGGGGCACCACTGTAGTAGCAATATAATTAGCTCATAATTTATAAACTCTGGATCAGCTGCTTCTTTTCCCAATTCCCACACCGAAAGATGGAATTCAGTATGAAACTTGAGATCTTTTAATCCTATAGTAGTACCACAATAGGATGAATTGAAACTCTGATCAGTTAAGAAACCCTAAATATTCTCTCCCACCTCATGTGTTTTATTTTTCCTCAGATATCATAATACCTTAGCATCTCCTTAAGCAGATCTATATCTTACCTGTCCAGATCATAAAGGGTATGCGAGTTCTCCATTATCACTGATACTCCAGCTTCTTTAGCCAGCTTCACTATAGCTGCATCTCTCTCTTTTCCAAAGGGCTCAGAGTCATATTCAAAGGTAAGACGTGTCACTCCCCATTCCTGCAAGAAACCACACAATATTACCCCACTACAAATATGAAATGCCACTCTTAGCTCACCATAGAAGTCTGAGAACTAAGACTTTAAAGGTAGGCTGAAATCCAAAGACAGAATTAGGGAAAGGATCCCATTTTAAACAATAAGCATTAACACATACAAACAAAAGATAATCCACTAACAACAGCTGTTCTCACAATGCATTAAAAAACTTTGCTTTTTAAGAGTACTTTCTTAGTGTCTCAGGTCACTTCCCTTGCTATCCTCACTGAATATCAAAAATAGGAACTCTTTGGTTTGCTGCTGACTTTTTGGTGTGTGAGTGTGTGTTTGTGCGCCTCTCTGTATATGTATATATAAACGTCAGGACACACAACATTGTTTAATTACAATCATAGTAACGAGAAACTTGATTAAATTGACCTTTTTTCTTGCCAGTTCAAATCGTTATTTAAATAATTCCAGTCTGCCTCTGTGTATCCCAAACAGCACTATAAGCCACCTGTTCTAGGATAACTAGACACCTGAACCAGAACACTCCCTTTATGGGATAATGAAACACTGCAACATGGTTGCAGCTCCCAGTTGCATGTTCATGTTAACAATATGTATTATGTATCAAATTGTGAAACCACAGTACAGTCGTACCTTGGCTCCCAAACACCTTGAGACTCAAAGGTTTTGGCTCCCGAATGCCGCAAACCCGGAAGTGAGTGTTCTTTGGAAGCTGAACGTCCGACGTGGCTTCTGCGGCTTCAGCTTGAGTGCAGGAAGCTCCTGCAGCCAATCAGAAGCCGTGCCTTGGTTGTCGAATGTTTTCGGAAGTTGAATGGACTTCTGGAACGGATTCCGTTCGACAACCAAGGTACAACTGTACTTGCATACTGAACACCATCTATGACCAATCTAGTAACACAATATAGGACCTTGCATCAACCATAGAAAACACCACAAGGGAAAGCCTATGCTTCGCATGCAGAAGATTCCACCAGTGAAAAGGAGAACAGGTTTCAGGCCAACAAAAACTAGTCAGAGGATATAATGACAGCTTCACAGAATCTAACAAGAAATTGAGGATCTCATGTTTTAAAATTTTCATATACCAAATTTTGGGAGAGTGCTGGGTCACAAAATGGCTTCCATGGAAAGTGTGGCATAACACAAAATTTGAGAGATAACAACCCCTGACAACCTTATGCTTACCATAGGAAGTCAGCTATGTACTGATTGTGGAAATCACACAATACTGATTATATATACACACAGATACACGCTGATGGTGTTGCTGTCTAACAACAACAACAGGGAGTACCCCTCAGTACCAGGAAAAATATGCAAGGTAGTCACATCACACTCACTTTCATTTCACATGCCCCATGCCTTTCTTTCTAGGAGAGCCAGAGACTGACTTATTTTTAAAATGAAAACTCAGAGCCTGAGGAACCTGCCAGGGGCACCAATGAAAGTGTTTGCATGTGCTGGGTTGGCAACCCCCATTCTATTCAGCCAAATTAAAGTCACCATCATTTTGGGGAAAAATTGCCTACAAGATATGTAAAGTTCTACATCTAATTACAGTGGCCACACTACAATTTGGAGATAAAAGAAGGATCAAGAGGCTACAAGAGCCCCCATTCTGATATTGTAGGTCCCTAACTGGACAGATTAAGTTCTTGAGAAGCTTGTGTTGCATCTAATGCTCTGCATGTGTAGTTCAGCTAGTGTAACAAGACTTCTGTTCCCTTTCTTCCCTCTTTTAAGGGAAAGTGTGAGCTGGAGTGGGGAGAAAAGGAAGAGGAAGCTGTTGTGCAAAAGGAGCTGCAGCACTGGATATGACCCATGGCCCTGCAAATATACAGACAACCTAGAAAATTACTGAAAGAAGCACCCACCAAACATCCCAGAACAGAAAGAAGTACAAGAATTTCTACCCAGAGTGTGGTGCAGCCCCTTCAGTCTATTCATAAGACCAGTTTTTTAAACATGAAAGTTGAATGTTACTGGATAGATCATGAATAAATCGTAAGCTGAATGGTCAATGCACTGGAAAGGACAATATAAAGAATTCAAGCATCTTTAGAACCTTAGCTACAGCTTTTTGCAGCATCTTGCTCTTCAAAAACATGGCCTATTTTCTCTGACAAAATGTGTTAGATGTAATTGCTTGCCACAGCAAGCATCCTAAAAATATGACAAAGGAAAGTGTGTATGATGCAGAAAATTCTGCTTCACACAAATCAAGATCTAGGTACAATCAAGATAAAAGCATAAGGTGGAAACTTTGGCAAACAGGTGCACAGACTATTTGGAATTGAGTCCAACACGTATTTGCTTTACACAACCATTTGAGATAAAAGTTATCATGTAAATCCTCAACTTGAAAAAAGCAAGGTTTCTCTATTCTGCATGCAAAATTCTGCATGATCTTTCCCATTAATCATGCTATGCCGCTATATACATATACAACTTAAGAACAGAATGGTACTCTACACTGTATTTCAGCATGACCAGTAGACAAAAGAGGGATACTTTCTGCTCCACATAAAATTTACAACCACAGAAATGGCATAAGCCCTCAAAAAAGTTACTTCAGTTCCTTGAATAAGCCCTTAGGGCAGTGTTTCCCAACCACTGTTCCGTGGCACACTAGTGTGCCACGAGATGTTGCCTGGTGTGCCGCGGGAAAAATTAAAAAATTGAAAGTTTTTGTTTTTTTTTAAGTCAAATTTTCGATTGGGGCGCCGTCACTAGATGACCCCTGGGGTTCCCTCCCTCCCTCCCGCTCTGCGCCTCCCTCCTCCTCCTCCGGGGAGGCCCTTCCTGGCTCTCGGCCAAGGCTTGGCGGCTGCCACTCACTCACTCTCTCGCCCACCCGTCCCTCCATCCCTGCACCCGGCCTCTCCCCCTCCGTCCCCGGCGCGGGGGCTGCCGGGATCCGTAGTCCCCTCGCCCTTGGACTGCGCGCCCGCGCGGGGTGCGCGAACTACGTTTCCCAGCGTGGCCTGGCGGGCCGGGCGTTTTGTTTGAAGCGCTCTTCTCCCGGCCATGGAATGAGCGCAGCGGCGGTGGCCGGGCGGGCAGGGGCTCTTCCGCGCAGACCCCGCGCAGCCTGCCTGCGCCCCCCGGAGATCGGGCGGCAGGATGGAGCCCGGGGATCCCCGCGGAGGCGGAGCGGCGGAGGCGGAGGCTGCCCCCCAGGTAGGGCTGCGTCGGGGGTCTTTTATTTTTGCAATGCTGCATCCGCGCCGGAGGGGACGCATCGGACCGCGGGGAGACCCCTTGGCGGGCGTGCAAGGCAATGCATGCGTGCAGGCGTTGCATGGAGTGCAGTGCAATGCAATGGCAACACGGCGCCCTGCATGCATGCATGCAACTTCCACCGGCGCTCCGGACTTGGCAGGTGAGGGGGGTCCCCAGTGGGCGGCAGAGAGAGCCGGGAGGGCGAAGGGGAGCCGGGGGGAGCAGCGCTGCTCCCCGAGCCGAGCCCGGGGGAAAACTTCGGCGTCGTTGCGCCGGGTGTTGGAAGCGGAGGCTGGCGGGGGCCCCTCACCTGCAAAACCTGGTCGCCTCTCATATATTTCGTGCATTGCATTCATCGCCCGCTTTCTCCTCCAAGGAGCTCCCGGGGGCGCGCGTGGTTCTCCCCGTGTTATCCTCGCAACAACAGCCCTGCGAGGTGGGTCAGGCGAGTGGCCCAAGGGAGCACCCAGGGATTGTCCTGGCCAGGTGGGGTGATTTGAACCCTGCTCTCTGCCCAGTCTTCGTCCTCATTTAGCCCCCACATGTGCATGACTGTGCATGACTGAGGTTTTCCCCCTCGTCTTGGCTATGGTGTGAGTCTGTGCTGTTAATTAATGGGGTTCTGCCTTCGGAGAAGATGAGCCAGCCCTCAAGGAGGTGATTATGTAATTTGCTAGCAATTCATGTCCCTCCCGGCGTGACGCTGCGCGCTGACGTCACGGGGCTGTAATGGTGGTGTGCCTCGAGATTTTTTTCATGAAACAAGTGTGCCTTTGCCCAAAAAAGGTTGGGAAACACTGCCTTAGGGATAAGGTGTTAAGATATCAATGAGCTAGATTAAGCAGCTACAATAAGGGTAGAAATAGTTGCAATTTTGATGCAGATTCCCAACTGACAATTTTAAAAGAACGGAGAAACCAAAAGATGCAGCTGTTGTGCCCTGTTTCCCCACCCTAATTGTCTAGTTTCTTATGTGGCAAAACTAGAACCCTGCTTGCTAAAATAGGCAGCAGAGATGTGATCAGTGGAGGAATGGAAGGCACAGCAGCTGCATGCTCTCCCATCACTTCCAAACATTTATACCAGTGTTTCCCAACCTTTTTTGGGCAAAGGCACACTTGTTTCATGAAAAAAATCTCGAGGCACACCACCATTACAGCCCCGTGACGTCAGCGCGCAGCGTCACGCCGGGAGGGACATGAATTGCTAGCAAATTACATAATCACCTCCTTGAGGGCTGGCTCATCTTCTCCGAAGGCAGAACCCCATTAATTAACAGCACAGACTCACACCATAGCCAAGACGAGGGGGAAAACCTCAGTCATGCACAGTCATGCACATGTGGGGGCTAAATGAGGACGAAGACTGGGCAGAGAGCAGGGTTCAAATCACCCCACCTGGCCAGGACAATCCCTGGGTGCTCCCTTGGGCCACTCGCCTGACCCACCTCGCAGGGCTGTTGTTGCGAGGATAACACGGGGAGAACCACGCGCGCCCCCGGGAGCTCCTTGGAGGAGAAAGCGGGCGATGAATGCAATGCACGAAATATATGAGAGGCGACCAGGTTTTGCAGGTGAGGGGCCCCCGCCAGCCTCCGCTTCCAACACCCGGCGCAACGACGCCGAAGTTTTCCCCCGGGCTCGGCTCGGGGAGCAGCGCTGCTCCCCCCGGCTCCCCTTCGCCCTCCCGGCTCTCTCTGCCGCCCACTGGGGACCCCCCTCACCTGCCAAGTCCGGAGCGCCGGTGGAAGTTGCATGCATGCATGCAGGGCGCCGTGTTGCCATTGCATTGCACTGCACTCCATGCAACGCCTGCACGCATGCATTGCCTTGCACGCCCGCCAAGGGGTCTCCCCGCGGTCCGATGCGTCCCCTCCGGCGCGGATGCAGCATTGCAAAAATAAAAGACCCCCGACGCAGCCCTACCTGGGGGGCAGCCTCCGCCTCCGCCGCTCCGCCTCCGCGGGGATCCCCGGGCTCCATCCTGCCGCCCGATCTCCGGGGGGCGCAGGCAGGCTGCGCGGGGTCTGCGCGGAAGAGCCCCTGCCCGCCCGGCCACCGCCGCTGCGCTCATTCCATGGCCGGGAGAAGAGCGCTTCAAACAAAACGCCCGGCCCGCCAGGCCACGCTGGGAAACGTAGTTCGCGCACCCCGCGCGGGCGCGCAGTCCAAGGGCGAGGGGACTACGGATCCCGGCAGCCCCCGCGCCGGGGACGGAGGGGGAGAGGCCGGGTGCAGGGATGGAGGGACGGGTGGGCGAGAGAGTGAGTGAGTGGCAGCCGCCAAGCCTTGGCCGAGAGCCAGGAAGGGCCTCCCCGGAGGAGGAGGAGGGAGGCGCAGAGCGGGAGGGAGGGAGGGAACCCCAGGGGTCATCTAGTGACGGCGCCCCAATCGAAAATTTGACTTAAAAAAAAACAAAAACTTTCAATTTTTTAATTTTTCCCGCGGCACACCAGGCAACATCTCGTGGCACACTAGTGTGCCACGGAACAGTGGTTGGGAAACACTGATTTATACATCAGGCCCAGGGGCCAAATTGTCCCTCCAGGCCCTTCTATCTGGCCCCCAAGGCTCTCCCCAGGCCACATCCCTCATAAGCCCTGATTTCAACCCTCCTTAAATGTTTTTGCTTGGCTACAATCAATGTAAATATCAATGTTAGTCAGCAGCAGCTGAATGAGGCATGGAATTTTAGGGTGGTATTCAACTTTTTGCGGTAGCTCCTGGGTTAACAGTAGATTCCCTCCTCCTCCCCCACCATCCCCAGATTTGCTCTGGAGAGGGGGTGGTACCCCCAGAACAGATTTAGGGAGTGTGCAGGAGAGCATTCTGTCACACAAGGAGAAATCCACGTGTCAACATAACACTCACCTTAGTGCTACACTGAATACAAACCTAATTTACAGGAAAATTCACTTTCCTTTAAAACAGGCTTCCTCAAACTCGGCCCGCCAGATGTTTTGAGACTAAAATTCCCATCATCCCTGACCACTGATTCTGCTAGCTAGGGATCATGGGAGTTGTAGGCCAAAAAAACATCTGGAGGGCCGAGTTTGAGGAAGCCTGCTTTAAAAGCTTTTCACACAGAGACATTTTCTTACCTTAAAGAGTCTTGGGAAAACATCAGTAGGCTGCCCTCTTACTACAAACAAGCGAGAGTTGAGTTTTCGTAAACTGTTATCCAAATCTTCCAGGGACTGGAGTAAAAACCTATGGAGAAGAAGAAATGAGATGGCATCAGCAGCTGTTGGGTCAAGTAGTTAAGGGTCCTCAAACTCCAAAGCAAAGAATTCAGTTTCTTATCTATCAGTGCTTGGCAGTCCTTTGCCAACACTTATATTTTATATTCTCTTCTCCTTAAGAAGAAAAAAACCATATGGCAGAAATACAAATCAGAAATACCAGGTTGTGGAATCAGAAGTCTATGTTTATGCTAGAGAATAATTCAATTGCATGAGCTCTTCCATCATCCTTGATGAACTCTTCCTCTACATTTTTGCCTTTGAGCCAGGATACTAGGTTGGAATCAAGCTAGGCAAAGCTACCTTTGGGCACCCTCTGAAGGATATATAAGGATTGTGGGAGGAATGTTTGGAGGTGTGTGAAGAGAAAAGAGACATTTAATTGCACTAGAGTAAATCCTCTCACATAACACTAGATTCCGCACAAATATGTGCACAAATCATACTTTTCATTTCCATGCATTTAATTTTCTTAGTCGATTTGTCTTCCAAATAAATTCTTCTTTCCCATTGCTACATCTAAAAAATGATTCATGTGACAATTTACTATCAATCTTTGCATACCCAAATCAGGAATGAAGTGTGTACACACACACACACACACACACACACAAACTGCCACTTTTGCATACATCTATCACTGTAAAGGTGAATTTTTCCACTTAAAAACAAAACAGAGAATATAAACAGTTTAATTTTTGACATTTTACATTACAAAATGTAGAAATGCAAGACTCGTTGCTAGAGTGCATGTTCTAACTCTATACAAAAGCATTGAATTTCAGAATCACATCACATATCTTCCTTGTTGCATTCAAGTGGAAAAGTCAAACTACCGCTATTAATTTAGGCTTTTCTCTGTAAAACAATCAGATCATAGAAGAAAACAATGGTGTGTACATGCACATAGGGCTAAAAGACATAGAAGAAATTCAGCAGACTTTAATCCTAGATAAACACATGCAATTAAAAGGTTGAAAGATGCACCTCTTAGCTTAAAATAAAATTGGAAAACATTTAAATAAAGTAGAAGGCAGCAGCCCAGGTGGTAACTGATCTTGCAAATGCTAGAATATATAACATTATGCCAAAAGCAAGATCTTGGGAAGGTGTTTTAACTGGATATTATGCTTAACTGATTTTCTGCCTCACAGACTTGCAGAAGCAAGGTCAGTCAGATCCACATGATTGCTGCTTGAAGCACTGATAAAGCCATTAACACTAACCCAGGCCTAAAAAAATCTTAACCAAAATATTATTTTCTACCAACCTATATTCCAATGGCTATTAGAGTAGTAAAATGTCCCCAAACCAATACCAATCTTAAGGACCTTGTTGTGATCAACTGGGTGTGCACTTTGAGGATAAAAATAAACTGCAGATTATCTTGGCAAGAGCTAGATTTTGTGGGGCTGCCTCTAAAAATGACAGTGCTAGTTAGGACAGAGTGTCTCCTAACAGGGCATCGTGTTTGTAGGGGGGTTATTGGTTTGATTTTGTTTTATTATGTATTTTATGTTCTCGTTTTGTGAACTGCCCTGTGATCTTTGGATGAAAGGCAGTATACACATTCAATAAATAAAAAATATTAATAATGATGTTGACAAGCTGCTTGCAGGGCTACACCAGACCATATGTCTTCTTGTTCCCTGTCCCAAGCTAGCATGACTGCATCTGAATCACGAGTAAGAATTCACTGTGTAACCAGTTGTTGCATACACCTTGAAAAAGGTGGTGGTATGGCCACTCCTTGAAGCTGATGTTTTGGATCAACTACAAATATTCCCCATTCTGGAAAGTAGAGATGGTTATGGCAAGGCAACTGCAGGCATTCTTGGATGAAATCTACACCCATTCCAATCTGGGCTCAGACCTGGCCATGGGACAAATCTGCCCTTGGTTGCATTGAAGGATGGCCAGTGTTGACAGCGGGCGACAAGGGGATTACAACCTTGCTCCTGCTTCTTGATCTTTCTATCGTTTTCACTATCGTCAACCATGGTACCCCCTTGGCCTGGCTTAATGGGATAAGAATTGGGGGAACCGTGTTGCAGTGGCACAATTCAAAGAGTAGCATTGAGAGAGTGCTTTCTGACCCTCTGGCAGTTATGCTATAGAGGTGCTACAGGGCATTATTTTATCCCCAATGTTGGGAGCAGACACCAGGAGATTTGGGGCATTAGTATGCTGATTACACTCTATTTCATTGTAACATGTGAATCAGAATAGGCCATGAAGGCTCTGGATAACACAGTGCCTGGATACAGTGGTGAGAGGAATGAAGGAAATTAACTGAGCTTGAATCGTGACAAGACAAAGACACGGTGAGTGAATGGTTCCTGTGTCCAAGAAATTGGTCAGTTTACATCCACCTGAAGGAGCAGGTATGCATTTTGGGATGGCTTCTGAATCCAGCTTTGTCATTGGAGGTGGCCCCAGTAACTAGGAGCACTTTTTATCAGCTTCGACTCATACATAAGCCACAGTCCTTCCTGGACAAAGACAGTTTGACTGCAATAGTCCAGGCACTGGCTTCCCCTCTGGTTGGTCCAAAACCTGCAGTTAGCACAGAATGCTGAACCAAATTGCTAACAGGAGTGAGACCTGCACTAGCTTCCCATTTGTTACTGGGCCAAATTCAAGGTGTTAGGTTATAAAGTCGTCAAAAACTTGGGATCGATTTACTTGAAGGATCACCTTGCCCAATCAATTGACCATTTTAATCTACGGAACTAGTGCTTTTATAAGTACCACATAATACTCATTTTGCCTTTTGAGGAATATATCCTTTAGTGTGAAGAACGTTCTCTCTGGAACTTTTAATATTAGGAAGGCCCATTCATTGCACCTTTCTTAATGGCTGCTAAAGTTCTGCTCACACAATCAAATGAAAACATGTATTTTTATTATATACAGTCACACCTCAGGTTGAACGCGCTTTGGGTTGAGCGCGTTCGAGTTGCGCTCCGCAGCAACCTGGAAGTAACGGAGCGCATTACTTCCGGGTTTCGCCGCTTGCGCATACGCAGTCACTCAAAATTATGTCACGCGCATGCGCAGAAGCGTCGAAAAGCGACGCGTGCATGCACAGACATGCCGTCGCTAGTTACGTTTGCTTCTAGATGTGAACGGGGCTCCGGAACGGATCCTGTTCATATCTAGAGATACCACTGTACATTTGTTGTGACTTGACTTTAGCTATATTTTATTATGTATACTTGTTTTTCAGTTTGATTTTATGGGTATTTTCCTATGACTATTTTATATTATTTAATCTTCTTAGAGAGTTTTAAAATTTATTTTGCAGCACAGTATATAAATCTTGTTAGTTAAAAAATAAATCTGGAGGAAAAACTGTGCCTTCAAAAACTATGCAAAAAACTCTGGAAGACAGTTAAGCCTCTTTCTGTATTAATGATGTACATGTAAAAGAGTATGTCCAAAATGTTAGCTATGTATCTGTTGCAAGTGATATTCTTCTGCTCCAAATGAACTCTCTTAAAGTAGCCAAATTACATCTCAAGTCTCACAAGGTATTTCTCTGGCTTAAACATAGAATAATCCTGAGCCAAACTAAGCATGCCATAACAGGGCTTTCCCAGCTTCTTCACCTAGGATTCTGTATGTTGAAACCACATTAAGTATACACTGCAGGTGTATACTTTCCAAACTAGTAGAACAAGAATGTCCTATTAGACAAGGTGCAGCCTATCCTCAAATGACAGCATCATTCCAGCAGCTATGCCAGCTACCAACAACAGATTTACTCCCTTTTACAGCTGCTCCAGCACATCTCATTTTTTCCATATTTTTTTAGAGGGTGAACATATTCACAGCTAAGTGGTGGTTTTCAAAGTGTATTATTCTGTTAGAAGTACAGAGGGGGACACAAACGTAACACAGGAATTACTCACAAAACTACTCTCAAATTACAAACAGCCTAAATTATTTTACATGGGTATGGCCTACTGAACTTACAGCACGTATGGAGAGAATTAGTTTATGTTCCATTTATTCCAGAGCAGTATTTTGTGTATTGTGACCCTAACAAGCTCCCTGTTTTAAAGATTAAAAGAAATTTAAACAAAGCCACGCAACATAGCAGCTAGTACAGTGAAAAGGCATTTTTAGATGATAATATTTGCTTTCCCTTAAAAGCACAAGCAAAATAAAAGTATCAAGGGTGGGATTCATTGTTGTACTATTACAAACTTCCCACCCCTGCAAGCATTTCAGCTTGCCAAATGGAACAACCCCCCTTCCCCTCATGTGCTGTTCTGGGTGTTCTCCTTACTCTGATCCAATTTTGGAGGATGCTGGGGAGGGGGGGAGAAGGGGGCTGCCCTGGAGCTCAAGGGGAAGTCCTTGCACAAGACAGGGTTTCTGTTAAAGGGGATCATTAGGTGAATCCCACGCCTAGTTTCAACTTGTTTTGTTGCTGTCATATGTTATAAAAAGATTAATAGCCTCCATGGTTGCTTAAATATTGCTTCAAATGTTTTTTGATGTATTTAGGCAGTCAGAAAGGATGCCAGAGATGATTCAGTTGTGGGGAGGAGAGACATCATTGTCCTTAGGGTAGTGGCAATCGAAGGGGCAAGTAAGGTGCTTCCCTTAATTGGTTTCCATAATTGTGGGGGGCGGGATGGGGCGGGCTTCTCTTTAGGCAGCATCAGTGAAATAGTATTCGTTCAATAACAGCCTTATATTTAGGCACTAGCCTAGTAGCTACAGGCAACTAGAAATTCCATGCAGATGAGTGCTTCAAATTCCATGCAGGTGAGTGGGCTGGCAGAGGACAAGAGCACTTTGTCCTTCATCCATGTCCTGGACAAAAACAAAGCAGGCTGCTGGACAAGGAAAGCCCTCTTCCCCAGGCCCAACACAGCAATGCAGCTCCATCTTTCCCTGCTGCCAATCCCACAAAATGGCCAGTAATTTTTTTAAACCTGCAAATAACTTTCGTGAGCTTATTTTCAAGCATGCTCCATTAACCTGACTACAGTCTTTGGGCAGTGAGGTCATACATGGCCTTCCTTAACAGAAACAAGGCATATTATCTTTGGAAATAAACAGAATACAGTGGTACCTCGGGTTAAGTACTTAATTCGTTCCAGAGGTCCGTTCTTAACCTGAAACTGTTCTTAACCTGAAACACCACTTTAGCTAATGGGGCCTCCTGCTGCCGGAGCACGATTTCTGTTCTCATCCTGAAGCAAAGTTCTTAACCCAAGGTACTATTTCTGGGTTAGAGGAGTCTGTAACCTGAAGCGTATGTAACCTGAAGTGTATGTAACCTGAGGTACCACCGTACTCTATGGCAAAAGAACAGAATCCTTGGATGCTCCAATTTACTTGTTGAAATCCAGAAAAGAACATGATGCAAGAAATCTGAAGTGTAAACACCAGAAAATCCTATTGGATACTGTACTTGTGATGTCATCTTTACAACAACAACACTCCCCCCCCCCCGCCCCGCCACTGACGGATAAGTTCAGCCAAAGGCAACTAGGGGGTTGCAGCACTCGTCTTGCTTTCAGGCTGAGGGAGCCGAAGTTTGTACACAGACAGCTCTCCGGGTCATGTGGCCAGCATGACTAACCCGCTTCTGGCGCAACATCTACTAGCACTGGCGTGCTTTCGAACTGCTAGGCTGGCAGGAGCTGGGACAGAGCAACGCGAGCTCATCCTGTGGCGGAGATACGAACCGCCGACCTTCCTACTGGCAGGCCCAATCTAAACCACTGAATCACCCGCGTCTCCCCCCCCCCCGTCCGTAGACACACGTAACAGACGCATAAAAACATATGCAGCGCTGACACTCCTTTTGGTTTCCCCTCATTTTCTGCTCCTTCTTCCCTTCCTCCGGTGTTTCTGACGTCTTTCCCGCGCCCGCCTGCAGCGACACACTCTGCGTGCCTGTTATTTAACCGGGTGAAAGGCTTTGCTCAGGCATCTCTGCGAGCCTCCTACGCGGCTCCTACCACCAGCAGGCCGGAGCCGAACCCGCAGCCGAAGAGAGCTGCGTCGGGAAGTCCCAAGCTCAAGCCTCGTCCCCATTGGGCTTAACCCCCCACACACACACACACAGGGCGCCCCCTATCGATTCTCTGCGCCATGCCGCGCAGTTCTCGCGCCGCTTAAGTTATCGATTACTCCCACGGGCTCCACGTCAGCAAGGCGACCGAGTTAACCTGCAGGGGGGCCTTGTAGTCCAGCTAAGTCTGGGGCGTTTTACAGTGGTACCTCAGGTTACATACGCTTCAGGTTACAGACTCCGCTAACCCAGAAATATTACCTCGGGTTAAGAACTTTGCTTCAGGATGAGAACAGAAATCGTGCGGCGGCTGCGCGGCAGCAACGGGAGGCCCCATTAGCTAAAGTGGTGCTTCAGGTTAAGAACAGTTTCAGGTTAAGAACGGACCTCCAGAACGCATTAAGCACTTAACCTGAGGTACCACTATATTTTAGGCCACTGACGGGCGGAGCTTCACCTTTTCTTTTCTTGAGCCCGCTCTCCTGTTTCTCAAAACTTTACACCCCCCTGGGCACGTCTGCCAACACCGTCCGCGTCGGGGCACGGGGGTGAGAGGCAGCCTCTCCTCCTACGCCCTCGCGCCCCAGCTCGCGCCAATTCTCCACCCCCAACTCCCCCGCCCCGCGAACCCCGCGCGCCCACTCGCGATGCCTCCCCCTCCCCTCGCTCGCTCACCGCCAGCGGTTGATGCCCACAGCCGAGGAGGCCGCGAACCAGGGGTCCAAGATGTAGATGCAGCGCACGGGGCCGCCCTCTCGGATGGCCGCCTGCAGCGCGGGGTTGTCGTGGAGCCGCAAGCCGCGGCGGAACCAGTGCACGGAGCAGCCGCCGGTGGTGCGGGCGTCGCGGCCGCCCGAGGACCGAGAGCCCGGGCCCATTGGGAAAGCAGTCGCCATTCCGTCAAGCAACGCAGCCGCCAGAAGAAGCACAACCGCCGCCCGTGTCTGTCAGGCGCGCTGTGCCCCGCCCGGTTCCCAACCGCCACACTTGGCGTGGCCCCTCCCGATCCTAGCTCGCGCGCAGAAGCTCCGCCCCGCGAAGCCCATTGGCTGCCCGTGCAACATAACACGGCCAGGCCCCCCCCCTACACGTTCCAGGGATGCGGCGCGGCACGTTTCTGCGGCGTGTAGCTGCCGGGGGCGGAGGCCGCGCCGCACAAGGGAGAACCTCACCAAAGAGCAGGCGGGGCAGGCAGGCGGGGCAGCCCCTCCGAGATCCCGAGCCGTACATGCCTTTCGAGCTGAAGCGCTGGTTGAAACAGCTGTCAACTTTCAGATTTGAAAATAAGGGATCAGTAGCCTCACCTGTCCCGGGGACAGTCTACGGGATATCTAAGAATCCGGGATAGCAGCGGGAAACGGGGCTGGAATAAGGGAATTTCCCGCAAAAAAAAGGGAAGGTTGACAGCTATGGGCTGAAAATCGGGCCGGTTTTGTGTGTGAAAACGTGCCCCGGACACAGAATTAATATCCATCCTACGGGATAGTTCAGTCGGTAGAGCATAAGACGCTTAATCTCAGGGTCGTGGATTCGAGCCCCGTGTTAGCCATTGCAGGGGGTTGGACTAGATGACCCCTGGGGTACCTTCCAACTCTAAAGTTCTATGATTCAACAACAGACAGGCGTGTTTTTCGCAAACGAGGCAACCCGCAAAAGTGCCTCGCTGATTCATTTCTCCCTTCAGTTCCTTTCTGTTTTGAGGTGTGCTTAAAGCGGGCGCGCCTAACGCTGTCTGCATGTGTACAGTCTAAAACTGGGGAACGGCACACAAGCAAAGCAGTCTAACTGCTGTTTGTCTCCGGCATCTGGTCTTCAAAGGCACACTGTTGACACATGGAGGTTATGTTCCCAGCTATTAGCATTGGCTCGTTGCCTGCAGCAGGTCTGTCCGTGCATTTATGCAATCTTTAAACGCTGGTTATAAGGTCATCACAACATCCTGTAGCACTCCTGTGATCAGTGCAGTACCTTATGTGGACAGGGAAGGGTGCAGAGCTGGGGGGGGGGGGAGAGAACAGTATCTAGGAAAGGCATAAGAAAATAGTTATATCTGAGATCTATGCATAATTTTTTGAAACTTAATGAAACATTATTTTTTTTTTTACTTCCAGATAAACTTGCTTATAATTAGATTGGAATATTAAGGGCGTTTTTCACATTAACAGCAAGGCTGTCTTCCTGTCGTATACACTTTTTGGGGAGTTGATCCCAGTGAAATTTACTTCAAACTAAATATTAATGGTGAATACAAAAATATAAAAATACCCTCCTTTTGGTCTGACGTGTGTTTGTTGTGATTGCATTCCTATATCTACTTCACTGGGAATAAGTCTCGTTTAAATCAACACATCTTATTTTTTGAATATACATGTGTAGGCTGACACTGTTAGGTTGCAATTTTAAGCCTTTAAACTTTGTAGTGTCTTTCAAAAGAGTTTGGCTTTCGTCTTCTCCAGTAGCTTAATGTGCTTAATTAAGGCAACTGGAGCCATTTACTTTATGTTGGGTTGCTGACTGACCAGAGGGGGGGGGGGGGAGCAAAAACAAATTGCCTGGCTTGCTCTTGTGACTTCAACAGGAACTCTGTGTGCAGAATCAGCTGGTGAAGTTTTTCACAGCATGGAGAGAAACATTATTGCCTATTGATATCTGTCCATCCAGCTGCTTTTAAAAACAGTAAAAGCAGTGACAGTCTGAAAAGTTAGGAAAACTAGTTTAGTGAACACCTGGATGATTTGGCACATGTGTGAGTTATGTGTGCTAGTCCATGCAGGAACTAATCCAAGGAAGATCCTGCCTCAGGATTGGAGGCTGGACCCAGTGGCTTTCAGTGATTTGCCAGCAGAGTTATAGGTTACCTAAGCCTTTGGTTTGGTAACCTGTAATCTGTTCCTATGGTGATACGGGCTCATTTAAAACAGGGAGTAGCACCGTCTCCTTCCAGCAAAACAAGGAGTCATTGCAAAGGAGTTCTATTCAAGGCAGTGTCTGAGCTGTGGGAACTAAAGGGATTCCCTTCCTAATGTAGGGTGGGACCTTTAACTGCTGCACAACAAGCTGTAGTGAGGTAATCACCCGCCAGATTGTCCCATCCTTCTTAAAGGTGCAGGATCTCTTCCAGCCTCCACTCCAAAAATTGCCAGCCTTATTCCTGATGTCAAGGCACACATCATACATGAGATACACCCAGGTGATATAAATAGTTGCACCCAGAGCCAGCCAAAAGCCATTTTGCTGCCAGAGGCAAAGGACAGGCTGTCACCCACTCTCCATTCAAAGAAGCCCACCAGCAACTGAGCCTCACCTGAACACTGACACACAGACTAGCTTACGGGGCACAGGGCTCTGTCGTTTATTTCCTTGCTGCCACTTGCTCATCAGTCTGCTGGGCGGCTCCTAGTTCCCTCTCTGACAAATTGTGCAACACAGCAGCAGTGGCACCTGCACCCATCCCATGTACAGAACAGCAAACGTAACGTTCACGGGGCCTGGCAGAGTATGTGAGCTGGGCTGGTTGCCCCTCTGCCTGCTCACTTGGTCAAGGGCCTTGTTCAACGACACCATCATATTTAGAGAAGGCAGCCCAGGCAAGCAACACAAGCGAGCATTGCCATGACCAGACTCAGGAGGATGGGAATGATTAATGGGGGGGCTGTGAGGGAATTCCAGAGAATGGCCAGAAGGCGGCCACCTCATCTGCTGCCACATGGTGGGTTTGATCAGGATTAAGTCTTGGATCAACACTGCTTGCACTTTCAACTGTACCCTTCTTGCTGCCTTCCTTTCTTGGCTCCACATTTCTTCGTGCTCTCAGTGGCGCTGTGGGTTTACATACAGTAGAAACTTTATTGTTCACCATAAATGAGTGTTTGCTCAGCTGAGGCCACCTATAAATGCTGTCTTCTGGCAAGGCCAAGAGCAATAGTGTGTCCTCTTCCTGCAATCATCCTCTTTTAACAGCTTCGACTTGAGCTTTGCCAGCAACAAAAGGGCACATATCCATTGCCTGCAAGGAGTCCAAGACAGTGACAATCCCAACCTTCAGGTTAAAAATACTAATGAGACCCCCCTCCCCATGCATTGTATGTGCTGGATTCAACCCTGTGCAAAGGGAACATCCAATAAGTCAGGGCAGCAAAGGAGCACAGAGAGAAGTATCTGTTCTGCTACAGAGGTTACTCAGTGGCTCCTTCCTAAGCCAGGGAGCCTTAGGCATGGGGAATGAAGGTGCCCCTCTTGGCACTCAAAACGCTACCCAGATCACACCCTGCTTCACACCTTGAGTGTTTTTACCCATCTGGGATGTTTCCTTAAAGTCTGAACATGCCTCTTGCTTGCCTGGATAGAGGCTAGAGGTGTGTGTCTACTGTTCCAAGATAAAAGTTGCATTCATTACTTCATCCCCTTTTAAGGTGATTTTGGTGTTACTGTTAAAAATATTAAAGATGCTTTTTCCTTGTATGAATGTCTGCCATGATATTGTAAATTCTCCCTACACTCAAAAAGGAACTTATATTGAGTTTTGGCAATATGCAAATATAAGCAAGTTGATTTAAGTAAATAACTAATAAATAATGGCTATATGCTTATTTTAATGATGGGCTTGAAAGTGGGGTGGGATAGTATAAAGGCACAGCCTGTGTAAAGATTTGATCTGCATTAATTCCTTCTGTGGAAAAATGCTGTCTCAAGTGATGCTGGCCAGTGAACAGTGTTTGCCAATTTATGACAGGTCTATTGAACGTTGTTTCTAAGACCTACAAGAAAGATTTAGGAACATAAGAAGAGCCTGTTGGATCAGGCCAAATGGCACATCTGGTGCAGCATCCTGTTCTCCCAGACGCCTGTAGGTAACCAACATCTCAACATCTTCCAACATCTCACTTCCCTGGATGTCCACTTCAAGAATCCCTACTGTCATTTGATTAGAAGTTCAAAATGTCGTGAGCTTTTTTGAGCTATGATTTTAGGGAGTTGGACTCATGTGACTCTTCCAGAAGTGTCAGTGGCCTTGTTCTGACTCAGGTGTGGCACTGGTCTATCAACATACGGCTCAGAAGTTCTCGTGCATGGCTTCCACTGGCAGGACTCAATGCCCTAGTAGGTACACATGTTAAACGGGGATCACCAGCATTTGGAATTTTGAGGAAGTCCAATGGTGGGGGGCATGACATGGCATAAAATGACTGCTACATTCTAAAGAGCAGGAAAAAAGACAGGGCCAACCACCCACCAAAAACAAGTGCAGCCATTTCCCCTCCTCCAATTAATTCAGCCACCACCACACTTGGGCACTGAGAGAAGCTCTTTGTGTTGATTCACTGGCATCCAATGAAATATGGGCATGTTTAAAGGGTGTGTGTTCAGTATAGCAGAGGCAGTGCTGGTTCAAACAGGAGCTGAACAGGAAGAGCAAACAGTCTCTCCTGCATTGCAGATTTTTGGCAAGATATTTACACAGGAGAAACTGGTGCCAGCAGCAAGGGGTCACTTTCACGATCCTTGAGATAACATATGCTGGCACCAGTAGGCTAGAAGCGAGTTAAGGCTTTAAAAAGAAAAAAAGCCTAGGGTTTAGTTTACATGAAATCCTCTGCTTGGAGCCATCCGTGGCCTCCTTTCACTTTTTATCCCATTCACCTTACCATTGTCCAGCAAGCAGTCAAGCCACTCAAAATAGTAATAATGGTGAACCATACTTTTATTAAATAAATGTAACAATCAAAGTTCCACAGTGGAAGATTCGTTTCCCAATACAAAATCATAGAAGATGGGGGGGGAGGGGCACAGACATGAGAAAAAGGCAACAAGGCAAATGTGTGAAACATTCCAATGAGACGTGGGCTCTTAGAGCCCATGGGAGGGTCACTCAGTAAAGGAGTGCATACGTATCATTAAATCCTATCTCTCTGAAGAGCAGTGGGCATGCTGCCATTTTACTTTCTTGAGTGCCCATTAAATGCAGGTCAGGCCGGCCACTGACATACTTTCTTTTATCAGTGATCCTGGGGAGAAGAGTCAGGCCTAGCATGACCGCTACTCAGTTAAGAGCTGGAATTTCTCAAGGAATTTTGGGAAGGCCAGACCACCACCTTTCAAAACTCCTCAGGCCCAACTCCTTTTCTTGTGAGTCAGCCCTGAGGCCCAATGACACTCCACTTAGAAATGAACTTGATGAACAAATGGCGCTGTTCGAAATCCTCCACAACCCTCACTAAACCCAAATGCATATTCTTTGGTGTCCCTGGGGGTATTTCCACTCACCGTTGGAAGGCGGTGCCCTCATATTTCTTGGTACAGATTTGCCCCACGGGGGCAAAAGGGGTTAATGTCCAAGAGGTTAGTCCTTCAGCAAGCACACCAGATTGCAGTGTGTGGGAAGACAATGTAGAGATGCACCTTCACAGAAAGCCCACTCCCCTTGGGACAAACATAGGCAGAATCCCTCTACTCTTATTTCTTTCAAGTCTCCTTCCATTGGTCCTTTAACAGAACACACACACCTTCCTTTTACCAAGGGAAAAGCAAGGGGCACAAAGGCAAGTAGCTGGTAGTGATAGCAGCCATTTTTTCAGGAGCGACTTGACTGACCACAAGTCCCTTATCTGAGCTCCCCAGCCCCACCACCAACCCTCGTCACCTCCGTGACAGAAAACCAATTGTGAAAATACCCCCTTGACCACGATTACCACAGCAAACTGTATCTGTGGAGGAATCTGGCTCGCATATTTGCAGCCACAGGATTTCCCAGCCTTGCGGACTCCAAGCCCTGGCTCTCTTCTCAGCCAGGCTCCACTGCATCTATGCACGCAGGCTGCAAGTGCAGACAGTGAAGGTCCAGCCTGGGGCAAGTTTAGACACCAGTCTCATTTTTCTCATTTGCTTTGGGGATAGGTTCCTCCTGCACCTTCTTCATCTCCAGCCCTTTCACCCAAGTGTAAGCAAAGGAGCCCCCGAGAACCATCATGTTACTAGTCCACCATAGGAAGCTCTTGGTTTCTTCGTAATAGCCGACGGCTAGCACGGTCTGAGCACATGCTTTCGCGGTCCCGGAGACGTTGTGAGTGAGCGGGCTGGTAAATTTGATCTGAAGTCCTGTCACATAGCCGATGGCGAAGCCAAACACCCCGCTCAGAGTCATCATGCCCCAGAAGTTGAGGCTCCCCAATTTATCAAAGTAGTAGAGTGTATGGAACTCACCAGAGAACAACATGAGCGGCAGGAACAAGATACAGGCATTGATGTTGTTATAGAACGTCAGGCGCCAGATGCTGCTATCCACAGCAGGCAGCACTTTTTTAGTGTAGATCGCATTGAGTGAGACGCAGAGGCTGGCCAGGATTCCGAAAACTATGCCAGCCCAGGACAACGTGCCTTCAGTTCCCTCCTGGTCTATACCGAGCCAGAAGCCGCCTGCGAAGCAAAGAAGACTGGTGACATACTGGCCAGGCAAGAAAAGCACAAGAAGAGCCTCAGAATTAGCAACTTAATCCTTAAGATGCGAGACTTTGACAACTCAGGAGGGGAGAGCAGTTTCTACTCCCTTAGTGTTGTTTATCTTTGGAGATTTGTGGACGCACATCAAGGCTGTCCTGATTCTTCTGGGGATCATTGAAAAGGAGAACTGGGAACTCCCGCAGAGAACTGATTACAGGGAAAGGTGTTTTTGTTTCTAAAACTTTAATGAAGAGTCCAAAATTTCAACACAATATTGCATTTGAGTAAGCATTTTGCTGCTAAATATCTTTAGGGCTGGCTCAATCAGCTGCCCTCCCTTACTGAAATTCTGATTCTTATTGGGCTCTGACTCTTGATTTTTAATTCTCTGTTTTCTAAACTCTTCAGTTTTATTTGGGAGAGGCAATTGTGTTTTGTTTTTATTTTGTTTCTAGGAAATGTTATTGAGTGTCGTTGTGTTTTTATGTAAGCCACTTAGATATTTTTATTATATTAAGACGTATAATCTTTTTGAACAAATAAATACCTTTGTAGTGGGAAGAGGAGATGGACTTGTGGGGCAAGAAATGGTAACTGTAGAGAAATACTAAGCTCTGAAAGTTGGTCAAGCTTCTAGCTTTGACACCAACATCTTTGCTCAGTATTCCCTCACCCAGCTCAAGTCAACTTCTTACCAATTCTTTCCACAGACGGTGACCATATGTTGCTAAGTTTTTCTGTATAAATATAAGAGCTTAAAACCTTTATGTGGAAAAATAAAAGTTTATATGCAAGTCACTGGATTTTTCTCCCATGTGAAACGTAAGCATGTATCTTCCATAAGTACTGTATGATCACCCCCATCACTAATGGAGATTAGAAATTTACATGCTATTACTACCTACCAGTTTAGAATAGGCAAGCATCTCTCAGCTTGTAACAGACCTAAACATCAAGTGTTCCCTCTAATCCTTACAAGTAATACTGTGAGTGAAACCCATGGTACCATCCATCATACCCATGGCACTTACACCTGTGATGTACTTAATGTCACATTGTCCAACAGCAGTTTGCATTGTACAAAAGGGCCTATCCTTTTTAGGCACAGTAACAAATCAGATAAAGAACAAAGCACTAAGGGAACCATGAGTGATTATGGAATGCAACAGGGACGAACAGGAGTTCATTCGGAAACTTCACAGTCTTAACAAAGGCTATGGTTCCTTTGCACGCCATGAAGAATTGATCTTCATTACTGTTCCTTTAAGAACTACAGAATATTTCCTTCTGGTCAACTTTCAGCAGACTTTTCTGCCTTACCTTCCCCAGTTCTAAGACAGCACCTGACAAATTAGACTGTCACTTATGAAAGCTTTATTTTTTTTTTAAAAAAAAGGTCCAAAAAAGTTAGTCCTAAAGGTATTAAACAAATTTCTCTCTGTGTGTGTTATAGAGGACAAGAATATAACTTTCACATTTTATACAAGCTACAGATCCGTGAGGCTAACAGTCTAATTCAGCAGGGGAACGGCCTTTCAGCTGTTACCAATAGGGCCGGCTCTATCATTAGGTAGAGTGAAGCAGCTGCCTCAGGCAACAGTTGCTTGGGGGAAAGTAATGGCAGCAATTCCAGTTATTTCTCCTGAGCCATTCCCCTCTGCTGGAGGGCAGCTGTGCACGCCACACCACCTGCTCTGCAGCCCTACACTAGACTGCTGCCGAGAGGAGTGGTGGAGAATGCTATCCCAGTATTGAAATGAGATTCAACTACCAGTCCATTAAACTTCTGCATGTGGTCTGACCGAGAAGGGAATGGGGGGGGGGCATATTTTCTTTCAGGCAGCGAAACTTCCAAGGCAGGCCTCAGTTGCTATTGACAAACAACTGAAAGTTAGAAACCATACTGCAAATCATCCATAGACTTTTCTGTCCATCCTTGCCCTAAGGCTGCAATTCTAGGCATGTTTTCCTGGATTAAATCCTAGTGGGATCCAAGGGGTCTTCTAAGTGAGACTGCATAGGCTCTACAATTATTTGTAGAGAAGTAAAGGCTTGGGGGGCAGGGAGGGAATGGGAGAAGTTAGGAACATGAACCCATTTTCCCCCTGCTGGTTTGGGAGAAAACGGGGGAAACCCTGGGGTTTCTTCCACTTTGGGGGTGGGGAGGAAACCAGTTCCCCCCACTCCAAAATTGTTCCATTTCCCCCACTTCTCCATTTGCAAATTCTACCATACTAGAACATACCACCCCAAGGTGCTTCTCTGCCATACCACTAGACCCTACTCACCTATGATGACCCCGCAGGCCAGCAGGGCGTACAGAGAAGTGGTCTGCTTCAGGAGCAGGTAAGAGAGCAGCACATTGAAGACGGTGGTGAGGGAGCGCCCCACGTTGTAGAAGGCCACGCCGACGAACTTGAGGCACAGGTTGTTGAAGGTGATCATGCCGATGAAGACCACGGAGAGGGGCAGGACGCTGCGGGACACCTTGAGGTCCATGCGGATGGAGGGGAAGTCCACGACGCCGGCCGGGCAGCAGGAGGCCACGAGGCTCAGGACCTTGCAGATGAGGACGGTGACAAGGCACTGGTAGAAGGTGACGAAGAGCGGCGCTTCGAAGCGCAGCGAAGGGCTGCCCAACAGGTACTTGTTGAGGAACACCATGGTGATGGAGATGAACCAGTAGAGGGAGACCACCGTGGCGATGCGCAGCGCCCGGATTACGAACGGAGGCTGCTTGCCGCCGCCGTCCTCCCCTTCCAGGTGCTGCTGCTGGAGCAGCGGGTCCGAGGATCCGCTGAGGGCCATCTTGAGGATCGCCGAGCGCTTCAGCTGCACCCTGTTCATGGCGGAAAAGAAGCGGGGGAAGAAGCTCAAGGGAGGAACGAGGAGGAGGTGCCCGCGGCCACTCGCGCCCCGACGGCCCCGCAGCCAGCAAAGGGCAGCGCCGGCAGGCTCATGGACGGGATCCCCGCGCCGAGAGCAGCAAGCCGCGGGGCAATCTCGGGGATCGCTGAAAGGATCTGGCGGCGCGGGCGAGAAAAGGCAAGGCACGCAGCGTACTTTACTTGCAAGGAGGACCCATTGCAATCGATCAGTGGGACGCGCCTCCAAGAAACGTGTTTGGCTCGGGGAACGGGAGCCAGGTCCGCGCAGAGCTCCGGCCTTGCTAGGTAAAGGTTGCGCTCAACCCCGGAGCAAGGAAGGGGACGCCCGTTCGCTCACTTCCTCTCTGCGGGAGCCCACCAGTCCCCGAGCTCGGCTCCGCCTGCGAGGGGCCGGCCCCGGCTTAAAGGAGCCGAGCGCTCCGGATTTGCCGAGGCAGCTGACGTGTCGCGATGGCGCCTGTCGCAAGATCGGGAAACACCCGAGCGAAGTCGGTAGCACCTTCTGCGCGGGCCAACGTGCCTTTGATACGCCTTCCCCGATCCCAAGCACGGGGTCACCCGGGGAGCGAGAGCTCGGGCCAGCGGGCAAGCAGCTCCTTGCAACTTCGCCGCTGCTCGCCTGCCCAAGGCCGCCTCGACTCGCTGCCTCCCGGTCGACAGCGGTTAGGATCCCCTTCGGACGGTGCTACGGCCGAGGCTTCCGCATGGCAAACGGACAGAGGAAGGAGTTTGAGAAGAGCCGCAGCTCTTGGACCAGTTGCCCCGAGTGCAGAAGGGCACTCAGTTGCATCTCCCGGTGGAGAACCGGTGGCCCACCCGATGTTGCTGAACTATAATTCCCATTAGCCTCAGCCACTATGGCCAGTGTTCAGGGATCATGCAACGTCGTGAAGGCCACAGGTTCCCCACCCTGGTGTGGACCATACAGAGTAATGGTCTGGGTATCTTCCTATGTGTGTGGCTACCACAGCCTCCATGCCTATTTGCTCCTCTTGACCCTCTCATTTCCCTCTTCTCTCTGTCTTCCTGGGCGGTGCTGCAGCTAGGACGTTCCACTTGTGCTGTCTCGAGTGATGCAGCCGTGAGAATTGCATCCAATGGCCCGTGTCCAACATCATACAATTGTAGAATTGGAAGTGACCCTGAGGGTCGTCTAGCCCAACCCCTTGCAATGTAGGAATCACAGCTGATTGCTGCTCCTTGCAACTAGCACTTGCTTCCCTGCTTTGTTAGGTGGGTAAGTGGCACCTCTGCCACCTCCCTCTGACAAGGAGGGGAGACTGTGTGTATGTGGGAGGAGGGAGGGCACAGCAGCTATTAAACACCCATTCCCCAGACAGCCCTTCACTCACCTCTCACTTAAGCAGCAAGCAGCTCTTCTGCCTTCTTGCAACAACAACCTGTACTTCCTGGATCGGATGTTTGCTTGCTTCCTTATCTACTTTTTGGTACCACCCATCAATGAAAAATGCTCATGTGGCACCTACAATTTTTTGGCTATACAGGCAGGAAAACCAGCAGCTACAGCTTTTTCCATCACTGCAACCCCACCTGGAAAGGGTCCACATGCTGAATTTCTCTAGCAGCCTTCAAAGACAGCATGAACTCTGCTAGAAATTATGTTTTGTAACCTTGCTTCTCCCCTCTCCCTTTCAGCTGCCATTGTTTAATTCAATTAATTTTCATTTAATACAGTTATAGCCCACCTTTCATCCCTTTACCCCCTCCCAATAAAATACCAAAGTTAATGGACATTGCCATTCAAATGGTGTGCATGCTCTGTGACGTGATCAATTATGCAGGGTGGGGCTTACCTGCCCCCCCCAATATTTTATTCAAGTTGGCACCCCTGCAGACCAGTGTAACAGTCAACCAACATCTCAGCCTCCAGCATACTACAATGGTACCTCAGGTTACAAACACTTTGGGTTATAAACTCCGCTAACCCGGAAGTAGTGTTCTTGTTGTTGTTGTTTAGTCGTGTCCGACTCTTCGTGACTCCATGGACTAGAGCACGTCAGGCACTCCTGTCTTCCACTGCCTCCCACAGTTTGGTCAAACTCATGCTGGTAGCTTCGAGAACACTGTCCAACCATCTTGTCCTCTGTCATCCCCTTCTCCTTGTGCCCTCAATCTTTCCCAACATCGGGGTCTTTTCCAGGGAGTCTTCTCTTCTCATGAGGTAGTCAAAGTATTGGAGCCTTAGCTTCAGGATCTGTCCTTCCAGTGAGCATTCAGGGCTGATTTCTTTAAGAATGGATACGTTTAATCTTCTTGCAGTCCAGGGGACTCTCAAGAGTCTCCTCCAGCACCATAATTCAAAAGCATCAATTCTTCAGCGATCAGCCTTCTTTATGGTCCAGCTCTCACTTCCATACATCATTACTGGGAAAACCGTAGCTTTAACTATACAGGCCTTTGTTGGCAAGGTGATGTATCTGCTTTTTAAGATGCTGTCTAGGTTTGTCATTGCTTTTCTCCCAAGAAGCAGGCGTCTCTTAATTTCGTGACTGCTGTCACCATCTGCAGTGATCATGGAGCCGAGGAAAGTAAAATCTCTCACTGCCTCCATTTCTTCCCCTTCTATTTGCTAGGAGGTGATGGGACCAGTGGACATGATCTTCGCTTTTTTGATGTTGAGCTTCAGACCATATTTGCGCTCTCCTCTTTCACCCTCATTAAAAGGTTCTTTAATTCCTCCTCACTTTCTGCCATCAAGGTTGTGTCATCTGCATATCTGAGGTTGTTGATATTTCTTCCGGCAATCTTAATTCTGGCTTGGGATTCATCCAGCCCAGCCTTTCGCATGATGAATTCTGCATATAAGTTAAATAAGCAGGGAGACAATATACAGCCTTGCCGTACTCCTTTCCCAATTTTGAACCAATCAGTTGTTCGATATCCAGTTTTAACTGTAGCTTCTTGTCCCACATAGAGATTTTTCAGGAGACACATGAGGTGATCAGGCACTCACATTTCTTTAAGAACTTGCCATAGTTTTTTTGCATAGTCAATGAAGCAGAAGTAGATTTCTTTCTGGAACTCTCTAGCTTTCTCCATAATCCAGAGCATGTTTGCAATTTGGTCTCTGGTTCCTCTGCCCCTTCGAAATCCAGCTTGCACTTCTGGGAGTTCTCAGTCCACATACTGCTTAAGCCTGCCTTGTAGAATTTTAAACATAACCTTGCTAGCGTGTGAAATGAGTGCAATTGTGTGGTAGTTGGAGCATTCTTTGGCACTGCCCTTCTTTGGGATTGGGATGTAGACTGATCTTCTCCAATCCTCTGGCCACTGTTGAGTTTTCCGAACTTGCTGGCATATTGAGTGTAGCACCATAACAGCATCATCTTTTAAATTTTAAAATAGTTCAGCTGGAATATCATCACTTCCACTGGCCTTGTTATCTGCAGTGCTTTCTTCTTTTTTAAAAATAATTTTTTATTAAGTTTTCCATTTAACAATCCAATCATATCACATTAGTTATTCCAAATTATACCAATACATATCAAAAAGTCCAAATATTTTGCCAAATTTTAAATTTTTGTTGGGGGTTCCCATGCTTCGAGTTCAGTAAGGGTCCGATCATCTCATATTTCTGCTGCTTTTAGATTCACAAGTCCCATCTTTCGATCTTCTTGTTGTTATCGTTTTTCTTCTTAATAACCTCTGAGTTGTTTCCACAAGTGAGTTAAGGCAAGCATTATTATGTTTCTGTGTAAGGCTCTCCCCCCTTTTTTAAAGCTGGTAAGTCTTTTGTTTGCAGTAAATCATCACACAGTGATCCAAAAGTCCTGCTCGGGTGGCAGGCACCATTTTTGTCAGTTCCGATGAAATAAAATCTAAGTGTCTGCTCATTAATTTTCACAGACCAGTTGCACCATAAATCAATCTTTCCAGGGGAGATTTTGCCAAGTCAAACTTACAATCCAAACATGATAACAAAGCATATTTGCAGTGCTTTCTAAGGCCCATTTGACTTCACTCTCCAGGATATTTGGCTCAAGGTCAGCAACCACACTACCTGGGGTGTACGAGACATCCATATCTTTCTGGTATAATTCCTCTGTGTATTCTTGCCACCTCTTCTTGATGTCTTCTGCTTCTGTTAGGTCCTTACTACTTTTGTCCTTTATTATGGTAATAACTTTGCCCCAGGATGAGAACAGAAATCGCGTGGCAGTGGCACGGCAGCAGTGGGAGGCCCCATTAGCTAAAGTGGTACCTCAGGTTAAGAACGGTTTCGGGTTAAGAACAAACCTCCGGAATGAATTAAGTTCATAACCAGAGGTACCACTGTATAGCAATGTTGCCACAATTCTGTGTTCACAGTCATAGTCCCCATTTGCAACCCTTAAACAGGATAGATTGCACGTGACAGTAAGTGAGCAAACTGGCAAGTGAGTAAGCAGTGGCAAACCGGAAGCTTACTACTTACTTCCTTATTACTTGGCAAGTCCATTCAGATTACTAGTTGGATACATGCACACCATGGCTGCATCTTCCTAGCCATTCATTTATTTATCCATCTAATCCCTTGCATGCTTTTAAATACATTACAGTGGTACCTCGCAAGACAAATGCCTCGCAAGACAGAAAACTCGCAAGACGAAAGGGTTTTTGGTTTTTTGAGTTGCTTTGCAAGACGATTTTCCCTATGGGCTTGCTTCGCAAGACGGAAACGTCTTGCAAGTTTGTTTCCTTTTTCTTAAAAGCGTTAATACAGTTGCGACTTGACTTCGAGGAGCAACTCATAGCACGCGGTGTGGTAGCCTTTTTTGAGGTTTTTGAAGACTTTGGTGATTTTTGAAGCTTTTCCAAAACTTTTCCGAAACCGTGCTTCGCAAGACGAAAAAATCGCAAGACGAAAAAACTCGCGGAACGAATTAATTTCGTCTTGCGAGGCACCACTGTATCGACTTTTACAATATATTCTGATCATGTCTTTCATGGA